CCTTGGGAGGAGGGGGCTTGGGGGAGGGGGTACCAGCTGGGTCCTCCAGGGGATATTCACTCCCCTGGCAGCATTTCTGGTTTCATTGCCAGCACTTCCAGTTTCACCACTGGCTTTTCTGGCCTTGGCAACTGGCTCCCAGGGGACTGCCCCCCCCCTCCCCCCCAGTGATCAGCTGCTGGGTGGGACTTCCCCCGCTTGGCGATCGGCTGTGGACGGGGGGTGAGGGGGGAGAGCGGGGTGGCGCAAATGCAAGCATTGGCCCCCTGGCACCAGGGACCCATGGTATGCCACTGCCTGCATCATGCAGGTATCAAATTTATACCTAATTAGTTACTGTGGAGCAATGCATGTGTAGAGGCCTTACTGCACAGAACCACTGTGTGTGTGGACTGACTTGGGACTAACTTTAGTCCCAAGTTAGTCCACACATAGTGTTAACGTGCTTTAATGCCTGCACAGGTAGACAATGCTTATTCCTGCTTACTGTGCAGTAACTTGCTGTGTAGTAAATTTATGCTGGCATAAATGCACATGTAGACAAGCCCAGTGAGTACTATAGAGTTGAAGCATTTTGAAGGGAAAGGTATCATTAACACTCTGTAATAGGGAAACCAAAGCACAGAGGGTAAGTGCTTTTCTAAAGTTATACAAGTAGTCAGTTTGACAGGGAGCATGAGATAGCACCCAGATATCCTGACATGGTCTTGTGCCCCATTTTTAGGACAATGAGATTATGGTCAATGATCAGTGCTTCTTGGCGCTATGGTAACATAAGCAACAGCGTGCTACACCTTGACATATTTTTCCATTGAGATAATGACAACTCCAGCTCTGCCATGTGCGATCTCTAACATGTCTCCCAATTGGCAACATGATATAAAGTCCAGGTTTGTCTTAGCTGCATAAAGACATTTGGCATTTCCTAAAGACAGATAATTTTGTAGGTTAAAAATGCCATATTAGCAGGAGCCAGAGGAGTTATACTTTATTCAGACCCTGCTGACTACTGTGCGTCTGGAGTAGATCCCTATCCAAAGGGCTGGAACCTTCCAGGAGGTGGAGCCCAGCGTGGGAATGTGCTGAACCTGAATGGTGCAGGAGATCCTCTCACACCAGGTTACCCAGCAAAAGGTGAGTGGCAGATTCATACCCTGAAGCATGTGATACCAGTACTTTCTATCCTAGTTCTGAAAATTGTCCTGTCACTAGCAATTAAGCTAGTGTTTTCTCTTAAAGTACAAAGCACAAATGGTTTCCAGCAACATTTGATTTCCCTTGTGTGGATCAGGCTCAAGTCATAACTGCATCCTGTTCCAGCTGGCCTCCTTTGAGCTAGACAGGAAAAACAGTTTCTAGGCAAGTCTCTTTACATGTGATCCAAGCGTGAGACCATTTACAAATCCGCAACCGGATAGGCTAAGCAATAGAAAATTAGTTAGGATTTATTGAGTTTTGGAAGGAGCTATGTTTCTCAAGAGGACCAATTTAAACTGGCTTATAGCTGCCATCAAGGAGAAGTAATAGCTTTGCTTGGATATATATTTCCTTGCTGATCATAAATTCCAAGCAGAAAAAACACTGTAAACTCTTTACAGCGAATGAAACTTTTTGCATTAAAGTCACAGTAGCCATTGTAGCCAATGGGTGCATCTACGCATGCACTTTACTGTGGAGTTGACTAATTAGCTTCCCAGTAAAGCATCACAGTGTACATGTGTGCCACTATTAGGATGCAGTAAATTAATTACTATAGTATAGTACTATCCTATGGCGGAGTAATTTACTGCACCAAAACGCACGTGTATATGGTAACCGAGACTGGCCGGGGCATGAGGGTACTAAAGTCTGCCACCTAGCCCTGCACTGTAGGACTCTCATGCCCCAGCCAGCTCCTCTGCAGTCTGATGCCACCACCCAGAGCCTGGGGCTGACCCCCCACAAGACCCCTTGCCAGCCTAGGGATGCTCTGCCCTCACACACTGCTGTGGGTCCCAGGCACACAGGTAAACACTGTGCCCAGGAGCAGCTGACTCCGGGAGCATGAAGTTTACTGCTGCAGTTTGTTGCATCTCACTAGTAGCATGTGTAGATGCACCCAATGGTATTAATACCTGTCCTATGACAGGACGCTGATTTATTGGAGGTGACGTAATGGGAGAGGGTATACATAGACCCTTGTAGCTACTAAACAGCTCTTTATTGCTAAAAAAAATAATTCTAGTTAATATGCAAACTGATGAGGATAGTAAAACTTGATATTACAATATTTTTGGTTTCTCAGAGTACACTTTCAGATATGAAGTTGATGAAGGAGTAGGAATACCCGTAATCCCAGTTCATCCCATTGGCTATTATGATGCAGAAATATTGTTACGGTAGGTGGACTTCAGTCTTCTCCACATGGACTGGGTATTCCTGTGTGCACTGCTTTCTTTGTATAAATATATTAAGGCTGATGCATGACTGTTTTTGTGTAATACAATTTTAATGAATACTACAGAAATAGAAAACAAGGACAAACACCTGGCAAAAACAAAAAACTGAACAAAAACATATTTTTAAGAAACCATAAAAACTCTGTTTTCACAAGGGAGAAATACTGCTTTTCCACAAGGTAGAAATACTGGTCCAGAAACTTTTTTAAAATTATTTTTCCTGCTTTAAATCTGTATCCTTATTTTAGTCTTGGTAAGAAACTTCTATATACCTTACTGGATCTCAAGGTAATTTACAGGCATTTTGAATACTCAGCATGATATATGGAAGCAGGAACTTCCTGAAGCCTACCTCTTATGCAGAATATAACATTTTAAATTTAGCTTGATTGTAGGTGTGATGTTCTATTTGACTTCTGCTTTTTACATATTGACCAACTGTATTTGTCTTGGTTTTCGCTTAACAGCATCATGGGAGGACCTGCAGCACCTGATGATAGCTGGATAGGAAGCCTCAATGTGCCTTACAACGTAGGGCCTGGATTTATGGGAAACTATTCTGCAAGGTTTGTCTGAGCATTTCTGTTGTAAAAAATAAAAGGGAGGGCGGGGAGGGTGGGGAGGGAGACAAGCAAAGCTAAGGGGGAAATGTGTATGGTTTTGAGGAATTTTATACCTTGAAACATAGAGAAGAAATTAAGTCCCCTTTGGGAAAATAGTATTATTGGATGATCATTAGTATTTGAAACTATACTAAATTGTTAAAACTATAGACTTGTTCAGTGTTCTCAGAAGTCAATGGCAAGACCGTCATTGTTTTTGGACACTGGATGCCATCAAGTTCAATGGGTACTGTAATTATCTTGTGGAACTCATTGCCATAAGACGTTGTAGAAATCAACAGCTTAACCAGGTTCAGAAGAAGATTTTGACAAATTCATGCAGTATAGGTCTAGTGCAATAAGAAGCCTGGACAGGCCCTGAACAAATACTCTTTCCTTAGCATCTACTCTGTATCATTGTGGCATACACAATACTGGGCTAGATGGACCCATGGTCTGACCTACTATGGTGTCTCTTCTGTTCCCGTGAATCTGACTTCGTATATTTCTCTTCCTAACTCTTATACTAAGTTAAGGCACTGTTTCCATCTTTAAAATGTAACATTGGACAATGAGGTCTGTCTTTTTCTACTGAAAAGCATATATTTAAAACCCTCTTCTCTTTACGTTTGGTTCTGTCCTTTCCTATTGTTTCTGAAAACTAAGGTGACAAGAGACTAGTAATCTGAAGTGGGGAGGGGAAGGAGCAGTTCATTAAGTTGCCTAAGTGCCTAAGCAGTTGTTTACTCTTGTCCTTTCCCACACCCATGGAAGTCTTTCTAGGACCTTTCTTTGGCGTTAGATCCCAGAGGGCAGCTGTTTCTCCAGAAGGTGTGGAAAAAAATACATATACTACTTTGCAAAATGAAACAAAACCAGTCATTTTCACTGGTAGTAGTGGTATGGTTCACAAACCATGTTTGACAGAGAATTGGTTGATAACATGGTGGGTGCTGTCTCTTCCTAGTTTTTCAATAGGGTGAATGTTGCTCCTCCATCCTAGTTTCCATCTGGCAGATTACATTACAGTCATGGCTGGCAACCTTTTCAGGCTGTGGGTTGGAGTCACCCATTTTGGGTCAGAGGTGAGCAGTTTCCCCCATGGCACCATGGTGAAAGCACCTGCTGCCTCCCCTTCTCCCCATGGCTGAAGCTTCCTTCTGCTGAAGCCTCATGCCTGTAGAGCCATTTGATCTGGATCTGGGCTGCAGACTGTAGGTTGCCAACCCCTGTGTTACTACAGTAATGTGCAACATAAACCCTGGCTGCAGTTATTTCAGAGGTCATGTTCCATCACAAGAGGGCGGGTAGATGGTGAGGACAATCATGAACAGGATGGGATAGTGATGATGTGTGTGTTATGTCCCTTTCCACCCAGGAATATGGATGTACTTTAAATTATAAATTTCAGTACCTGTGTTTAAAATACAATTAACATTTCTAAGGCATGCAAACAAACACTGACAGAATAGATTTTATTATGAGACAAACCAGGCAAATGTTTTGAGCAGATTGGAGGGCAATAAACAGAGAAGAAATAATAAAATAAATTAACAGAGCACATTATGTTAGGATGCTAAACTCATTTCGTGAGGAACTGGAGAAGGATTTTTGATATTTCTTAAATATCCTAACCTGCTTGATTGTAACCTTTAAGTAAGATCCTAGAGAATCAGCCCTGGACTTAGTATGTATTCATCCTGCATAAACTTAAGCAACAGAGAAATTAAGAATATAAATAGTCCTGTTAAGCCCAGTGGGACTATTACTCACATATGAAAAATTAATCAATGGTATTACTATTTGCAGGCCCAAGTCTTTCAGGTTAGCTTCTCTTCTGGGCAAAAATTCATTATCCGTCTTGAAGAAGGTATTGGTTTTGACAGCTATATAGGTTTGCCATTGAAATGTTGCCCAGTGCAGACAAATGTGTATTTTGTTTTACAGAGGGAAGCTGAATTGAATATTTACCCTTCATTTACAGAGTTGCTCATAATGGGTTTTCATTTCTGTTTGTTGAGTTCTTTTTTTGACAAAGCTTTAACACTTTACTCTGCCATCTTAATTTTTTTTTTAAATATTAAATTTATTCCTCTGCTTTCACTGTTTAGTTGTTACATACCATTCTGACAGCAACTTTTGTAATTACCATTTAATCAGATTTTATCATTACTTTTCTATAAAAATGCAGCTTAGTGTTTTGAGCTTGTTAAAAGTATATTTGCATAAGTAAGTATTGTCATAGCATTGTGTCAAAATGGAATAGATTTCCAGTGTTTTGTGTGTGTGTATATGTGTGTGTGAATTGGAGACCTGATGTTAATTTACTCGTATGTTTTATGAGGATTTTAGGATGTTTTACTGCCATGCGCCTAAGTAATACTAAGAGTGCACCAATAGAGATTTTTTGGGGGCTGATACCGATGGCTGATTTTTAACGAGCCATATCAGCCGATACCAATCCGATTGCTGATATGCAGCCTGGCAGCATGGAGAACAGCTTCTGGCTGGTACGTCTGTTGTGGTGGAAGGGGTGGGGGAGGTAAGGGGCATTGGGGGGGCAGATGGGGGGGGGGGTGGCTCCCACCACTGCGCACACCCTGGGAGGGCATGGAGGGGGGGGTGTCCCTGGATCTGCGCATGGGATGAAGGCGGACTGCTGCTTTGGGCTGAGGCCGGGGTGGTGCTGGGCTCTTCCTGGCAGGGGGCTGGGCTGGGCTGAGCTCAGGGTGGGTGGCAGTGGTGCTGGAAGGGGGCCTACAGGGGATGCAGCCATCCCAAAATTCACAGTAGCCCCTCCAAACCCTCCTCCCAGCACCACTGCCTCCCGCCCTGAGCACAGCCCGGCCCACTCCCCCTTGGCACTGCTTCAGCCCACTGCGGCAGCCTGCCCTTGCCTCATGCAGGTGCAGGGGCACACCCCGCCCCCCATGCCCTCCTGGGTTGCATGCAGCGGCAGGAGCCACCCCCCTCCCCGCACATCACAGACAAGCCACTCGTGGCTCCATCCCATGCCCCACCCCACCCAGCTGGGGAGCACCTGCCACAGCCCCTGCCCCACTCCCTCTCCCTCCCTCACTACGAGGGCCTCAATCTGTGCCCCTGCCCCACGCTCCTTCCCTCTCCCTACCCCTTTGCTCACAACAGACTTACCAGCCAGACCTGGCTGCTCTGCATGCTGCCAGGCTGCACTCCTGGCCACCTGCATGCTGCGCTGCATCTGTGTACATGCACAGGGCATTTATCAGTGACATTATCAGCCACATCGGCCAAAAAAGTCAAGTGCCCGTCAATTTTCCTTATATTGGTGCTGATCTGATATGGGACTTCTAATTAATACCAAAGTGACAAATTCTATGAAGAAATTTGAAAGCCTAGGGATTTCGTGTGTTGGATGGTTTTTCCTTACAGTATCCTGCTGTCAATAAAGAATTTCAAATAAAAATACCGCAGCACTAGCGTAGACCCTGTAAATTAGTAATCCTGTTTAGCACTTTGGCCATGTACAAAGTTTTACATTCATACATTACAAGATAATTTGGCACAAAGTTTTATATGATTATTCCTACTCTAGAGATGGGTAGTGTGAACTATTGTGATTTATAGGCTATACAACTAGTCGGCAGAAGAGCTGGCAACTTGTTAGATCGTAGGCAACTGTTAATCCTCTGAATCATGGTTTACATGTAAGAGGTCTAGTCAGATGCCTGATGAATCTGATTGTAGCTGACAAACCCAATTTCAGGGCAAGGCTGGCCTTAAGGAAAATGGTGCTTTGGGTGAACTTGTATTTTTGCACGCACCTAAGTCAGTGGCACTGCTGCAGGCAGAGGCTGAGGCAGGTGGGCAGGGTGCTGGGGCTCAGTCTGGCAGGGAGGTGGAGCAGCATGGTGCTCCAGGCAGGTGAGTGGGTGGACAGGCACCACTGCTCTGTGTGTGAGCAAGGTGGGCAGACTGGAGCAGGTGCCATGCAACCTGCATGTGCCCAGCCCAGTTCCTTCTGAGCAGTGGTTGGAGGTCGGGGGCAGGATGGGCTGGGCATTGCTCCTCCAGCTTGGGGTGGAGATTGATTGGCCCAGGCCAGGGCAGGGGGAGAATGATACTGTGAGTGTGGGCTACTCACATGTATGTGTATGTATGTGATACCCTCCCTGACCACGGCACCCTGGGCAGTCACACACATTGCCCACCCATAAAGCTGGCCCTGTTCAAAAGCGACACAGCTTGTTACAAGTTTCACAGATCCATGTGGTGTCTGAGTCAGAGTTCAAGTTTAAAGGATGCTGCTCTCTTCTTTCTCGCTTTGCTTCCATTCTCTAGATGAAAACCGCTTTATGTTGAGCTGTACCCAGTGCCAGATGTTCTCTCCAGACTGGACAGAATTCTGCTTGCTCCTCCCAGCTTTCTGTGTTGAATGACTTCATATAATTTTTGCACACGTCATGGTACTACCATAGAGGGTGAAAGCGGTACCCCACTTTCTAGAGCCATCTCAAATCTCGGACATGTAGATTTGGTCCAACCAGGTCTGGTATGCTAGGCACACCAGACACCCACTATACAAAATATTCTAGGGCATATGGTCTCCTCCCATTCTCCTGACATGGCTGTTCCATCGCAACCTCCTCTTGATAGTGGTTTCTAAGAGTGTCAGCCCTGCACACTTCAGTACCTCTGTGTTTGATATTCTATCTTCCTACTTTATTTTAAAAAACTTATGTAGACATCTCATGTGGAAGTTGTTCAGTTTCTTGATGTGCCTAGCATATGTATTTCACGTTTCTGAACCACAAAGCAGGGATGACACTACACAAGTCATGTAGATTCGCGTCTTCGCATTAGTTGATAGTTTGCTGTTATACCATGCATGTTTCTGTAATAGCCCAAAATTATTGGCTGCTTTTCCAATTCTGTTAGTTCAGTCTGAAGGTCAAGATTTCTACTTGGTTTCTTTGATCAGCAGGGATCTGTTAGTTCAGTCTGAAGGTCAAGATTTCTACTTGGTTTCTTTGATCAGCAGGAGTCTCACCTTCAGACGGAACTGACAGAAATCTGAAAAGCAACTAAGAACTTCAGGTTAGATAGTAGGATTGGATTATAATCCTTAGGACGTAAAAATGAAATGTATTCTTTTTTCAACTTTTTAAGTGTTAATCAGTGTTTATTGATACATGGCAGTGGTAAGAATTTCTTTTACCTATATCATATCAGAATGGCATTTTAAAGGTTATTGTTGTTGAGGACATGGGATCTTATTGTTTCTCTTGCTTTTCGTTTCAGAAAGATTAGGATGCATGTCCACACTAACAATAAAATAACACGAATTTACAATGTTATTGGCATCCTCAGAGGAACTGTGGAACCAGGTGAGGTTTGTTTGTATAGACTTAAGATACTCTTATGTAGCTTGAGGTTCAACTTCGAGATTTGGAGAGGGGAAGGCTTGTTGGGTCATCCTGACACACTGATCACAATATTCCCCAGAGACCTATAAAAGAATGATAGTTCTTGGTCTAAGACATCCCAGTTTTAGAGATTCCCTGGCTCCTCATTCCCTCATACAGCCTGATCCCAGCATTTTCTAGCACAACACAAATGATGAAGCCCTAGCAAAGAGATGAACAGGACTCTGGATCCTAATTCCATCATTGCTAGAGTGTCCAGACCCTGAACTAAGGTCTGGATCCAAATTTATTTCATGTTCTTGTATCTAAAACTCTGAATGTAAATGCCTGGGTGTTCCATAGTTTCATAGTTTCATAGCAGTTGGGGGTCAGAAGGGACCTGAATAGATCATCTAGTCTAACCCCCCGCCACTGGTTGAAGCAAGGACCACTTCCCTAGGAAGTTGGTTCCAGATCCTAGCCACCCTAAAAGTGAAATAGTGCCTCCTAATCTCTAAGTCGAACCTATTCTCCAGCAGCTTCTGGCCATTGTTCCTCGTCACCCCAGGTGCTGCTGGGGGGAATAGGACTCTTCCTATTTGCTGCTGATCTTCCCTAACAAGTTGGTAGGCAGCCACCAAATCCCCCCTCAGCCTCCGCTTGCTGAGGCTGAACAGGTTCAGGTCCCTCAGCCTCTCCTCTATGGGCCTGTCCTGCTGCCCTCCAACCAAGTGGGTGGACCTCCTCTGAACCCTCTCAAGGCAGGCCACATCCTTCTTAAAGTACGGTGCCCAGAACTGGATGCAGTACTCCAGCTGAGGCCGGATCAGTGTCACGTAGAGGGGGAGTATCACCTCTCTGGACCGGCTTGAGATGCATCTTTGGATGCACGACAAGGTGCGGTTGGCTTTGCTGGCTGCGGTTTGGCATTGGCGGCTCATGTTCATCTTGGAGTCAATAATGACTCCAAGATCCCTTTCCACCTCTGTGCTCACAAGTGGGGAGCTCCCCAGCTTGTATGTATGCTCTGGGTTCCTTCTCCTCAGGTGCAGCACCATACATTTGTCTACATTGAAGCCCATCCTATTACCATCCTCCCACTTCTGTAGTCTGTCTAAATCTAATTGCAGCCTCTCTCTCCCTTCGAGTGTGCCTACCTCTCCCCACATCTTGGTGTCATCGGCAAACTTGGAAAATGTGTTTTCCACCCCCTCGTCCAAGTCGCTGATGAAGATGTTGAACATTGTAGGCCCCAGGACCGATACCTGAACAGTAGGCCTCATACCTGATTCTGTTCATTGTTTTGCATTCTGCAACTTGGGCTCATCTAAAAAGCTCAATCAATTGGATCCAGTTTGGGTTTTTTCTCACACTTTTTTTCCAAGTTATATGGTTGTAAAAGGGAACCCCTGCCCCTGTTACTAGTGGGGGTAGAAAAGAAAGGCAGTTAAGAATAGCAGCGCAGGTGGACTGAGCCCAGGATTGATAAGGCCAGGTGGCTAATGAGCAACTGGCCACAACTGGTCACTGGGTGGAGTGGACTTAGTCATGTGCCTAGAAAGAGATTAAGCTGGGGGATATAAGCCCAGTTGAGGACATATCATATGGAGGGGCTTGCAGCAGGGAAAGGAGTTTTGGAGAGCACAGGCACTGCTGGAGATAGAAAAGCACACAAGCCACCCAGGGAAGCTGGGGAAAAGACTTCTAAACAGGTAAGGTCTGCCTGCAGCATTTACCCAAGAAGGGAGACTAGTTTTCTTTTGAAGCAGCTGGCTTGAGTTTTTTTGTTTGGTTTAAGCTTGTGACCAGAGGACCAGGTTGTGGCTACAGGGGTGAAGGAGGCCATGACCAGGGTGCCAGGGTGTGCTACATGGACTAGGAAACAGCCCCAAGCCATGATGCAGAAACTAACATACTGAGATGGAGCCACAAGGGATGCTGGAGGAGTCTGATTTAACTTAAACCAGGAAGGGGTCTGGGACAGACATTGCATGAACTGGTTTGACCCAAATCAGTTAAGTCTGATACTACATTCAAGCAGGGTTATCTCAAACCAGTTTCAGCCATTTTCAAACTGGTTTACGTGCACTGAATGTCTGTTCTGTTATAGGTCTAAACCAGTTTCTGATCACTTAAACCAGTGTGTGTGTAATGTCTGTCCCTAGTCCTGATGTCTTAGACAGTGGACCAAGGTGGGGTGTGGCCAGAGAAGAAAAGGGAGCCCAGGCTATGGAAGCTGAAGCCCTAACACGCTGTCAGAAACCCATGAGAGCAACCCCTTAAAGAGGGAGCATTGTGTGGGTGCAAGTGGATAAAAGACGCAGGTAGGGGGACTGGCCTGAGTAGACAGACTAGGTTACTCGCAGGGCTGCTATTGGTCTGAACTCCACACTCCCTAACAACAAACAATATTCAAGTCATAGCAGGAAAGAAAGGGGAGGTACAGGAAAGCTGGGAAAAGGAGCAGGCAAACAGAGCAGACCCTACCTGTATTACAATGCTAAAGATTTTTAGCAGCAGACCATGTAGGTACAAATTTAATAACCTGGAAAAACTGCAGAGTACTTTTGTATTGGCTTGTGAACTGCAGTAAGATCAGCAGGGAACTACTGATTTTATTTTGAAAAAAGGCCTTATTGTATAAAGTTTAAATTAATTGGCAAGAAACCAAAAGAACTGATTGGAATTAAAGGAAAAGACTGAATACAGATAACCCATGCATATTTTCAGTTTTAAAATATTCTGTATGTCTGTTTCCAGACAGGTATATTATCTTGGGAGGTCATAGAGATTCCTGGGTATTCGGTGGTATTGATCCAACCACTGGCACAGCTGTTCTTCAAGAGGTTGCTCGGAGTTTTGGCAAATTGAAGATGGAAGGTAACTAATCTGTTGTAAATGGGAGAAGTAAATCACAAGGGCTGGGGAAAACATAATTTCTGTGAGGCTATTTTCTCTCTGTGTGCATCTCTTTTGATTTGTGTGTATGGATGCATAAACCTGGGACACACGGGGAAATTCTTAAATGCTGTATTTACATACATACCACATGCACCTTTTCCCTAAAAACCAGCCTCCTCAAAATTGAAGTGTGTACCTTAAGTGGGGAAGTTAATTTTTCTTCACTGGAAAAGAAGCTAGTCTGGAGACACTGTGTGTGTCTCCATGAGATGCTATGTTACCATAGCAATGAGCTACGGTGACACAGCATTGTTGGGCACTAACCATGCTGCTGCTACTACTATGTAGTAGCTTCCTGCTACTGCACAGTAGGGTCAGAAATGACCCATGTGCCACTGGGACTTGCTTTAGCAAGTACTAAATGACTGCACAGTACTAACTGCATGGTTGGGAGCACATGTAGATGTGTCCACTGGGCATGCCATACAGCTACCAAGATGGCTGCTGCTTGTATCTGGCTTAGTAAGGGGAAGGGGCAGTTTTCTGTGTTAACCCTTTCATAGCCACAGCCAAAGACTGAGCATTGTAGTTTGTGCCCACAGCAGTTTTTTCAAGGGTCTGAGGCCTAACCCTGTGCGATGTTAGATTAAGTTCTTCTGGAAACAGTCTGGGCAAGGCAGAAGAAACTTTCTACTTACCTAGACTGTTTCCTGGGATGACACCCTGGGCATATCTTCACATGCGTATTTAATGTGCATTAGCCCAATTTTTAAGGTGCATTAACAGCATGTGTCTACATGTGCGCACCCTTAATGCACCCTGAAAATAGTGATTTAAGACTATTTGAGCCTAAATTTGATACCTGCATAAAGCAGGTATCAAATTTATGTGTGAATAGTTAAATTGCATTAGCAAACATGTAGACATGCTAATGCACATTAATGCAGTGTGTGTCCATTGGCTTACACCCACATTAATGCGCATTAGCACATGCACATGTAGGCACATGCCTTAATGTGCATTAGGCTAATGCACATTTAGTTTAGGTGTACATAAAAGCATGTGTAGACACACCCTCTGTGTTCCAAAGAGGACTTATCCTATGTCACACAATCAGGCATGACTCTTGGGGGAGATTCTACATTCTACCTTCCAGAAACAAGGTGTCTGTTTTATTTAGGGGTATGTGGTATGTAAGAAAATATGTTATATATCTGCAATGAGTTTACCATGACATGTAATCTAAATTGATTACATAGTAACTCTCATTGTTAGTGCATCATAAGCCATTTAGTGATATGTACAGTGACACTGTTATTGTTATTTACAATAGAATATTACAGTGGGTGTAATGATCTGAGAATTTAAAAACTGATGATTGGTGAAAGTTCAAGTCTGATGTGATAAGTGGGTGTCTAGGGGCGGGATTTTTTTAAAGTGCCTATCAACTGTGGGGGTCTTTATTAGGCTTCTCTCTTGTAAGTTGAATTTAACTGTGTGTTGACAGGTTGGAGACCTAGAAGAACCATTATTTTTGCTAGCTGGGATGCAGAAGAATTTGGATTACTAGGTTCCACAGAGTGGGCTGAGGTAAATATAGAATAGTAAAAAGCATGCTAGATGAGCAAGCTATGAACTGTGCCTTCCTGCGCTGGAGCCTATGTGAAAGCCCCACTTAAGTCAGTGGGGCTCCATGCAGATGCTGTGTGTCTGTCTACACGGAGTTCCTCCTAGGATCAGGGTATAACTGCAATTTGAAGCACAGCTGAGCCTCTATCAGGAGCTGTAGATGCAATCATAATATAAACACTACCTAACTAATCATGAAAATCTGCATGCAGTAGTTCTTCTAAAGTGTAAACAAATTATAGGACTGGCAGCTTTGAACAGAACAATTAAAAAGTATGATCAGTTATTACCTGAACTCATCCTGAATAATTTTCGTTCCTAATCCTACTCATTTCAAAACATCCTGACCATATGCTATCAACCAAGTAACAAGTTTACCCTTCCACAACTACAGGAGAATGTCAAAGTTCTTCAGGAACGGGCAGTTGCTTACATCAACAGTGATTCTTCTATAGAAGGTGTGTCTAATTTTTTTCCCAGTCTAGTGACTAAATTAATTAATTATATTTATATGCCTCCCTTCTCAACAAAGGTTCAGGGTAGCTTCCAGTAAGAACAGAATAATTTACACAACAGGAGAATGAAGAAGAGAACACAACAACTTTAAAAGGCAGCTAGATATAGAAGATGTGATACAGAGTGGATAACATAAGACTACATTGGAAGAGAAAAGTTTGTGGAGAGAGGACCCGACTCATTTCTCATTGCATCCTCATAGCTAGTAGTACTACCATGAGTGATACCTTAGGTTATCTATCAAAGGAAGTTTATTTTGTCAGTATAGCCAACACCAGAAAGGGTCAAGGTTGAGTATTTATATTTTAATGAATTCATCACTGTGTAATTTCAATTTAATTTGAATTGAAAGCTGTTTCATAACATATTTACTTTGATACACAACTCTTGTCTACTCTACAATGTTCTGCCAACATAGTTCAATTCCCCTTTCTGCCAGAAGAGTTATTCCACCTCTCTTGAATGGGGGGTAGGAGAAGGTGAATGGGAGGAAGAAGGCTTGCGCTGCTATCCAACAGCTAGCAGAGGGCATGTATAAACTTTCCCATGCCGTCTGCTAGCTGCCACTGACCCTTATGCTCTAGCAGCACAGCTGTTACAGTGGACCCACCAGGAGCCCGTGGATGTGTATGTGGTCTGGCAGTTGGGTTATGATGGTTGTTGCTGGAAGAACCAGGTAAAGTGTAATCAGGGCCATTGTCGAGACTTGGTACAATATCACACAGCACTGACCATTTTTACTCAATTAAGTTATTGCCTTACCTCGTACATGACATTACAAGACAACTTGGTATCATTTTAAGCTTAGCTTTTACTGGGGATGGCACATGATCATGGTAACAGCTACTGCAACCACCTTTGCCCACAGTTTGGGCTGCGCTTATGTGTGCTGGTGGGGCCAGCTGCCCAGGGAAGCCTTTCAGCTGTGATGGTGCCCCCATAGCAGCAATGAGAGTACAAGAAGAGTGGCCATTAGGAGGAAGATCCACTATTACGTGGTTCTTTACCACTAGTACAGGTGCTCTGAAGGGCCGGATACATGAATGCTGGCAAGAAGCTGGAGTTTATTTGCGGGTCCCAGCTTCAGATTTAGGGTCAGGACAATGCCTGTGTCACATCAAAGAGACTAACTGGTTCAGAGAGGTATAATTTCATAGGCAACAACCTACTTTGTGAGATGCTATGAACGAATTAACATTGCCAAACACTGCCAGTCCATTCATAGAATCTGATGAAAGTAGACTGTCGCCTACAAATGCTTGTGCCTCTTTGAGCTAAGTAGTGCAGGGACACTGCTCCGATATGCTGTAATTATAGCGCATTGGAGCTTGCTAATTAGCATGCTTCAGCAACCTCCATGTCTTGTGTATTCAGTGTCCCCACACTTCAAAATGATGGTGGGACACTTGAACTAAAGCTCATTGAATGAGCTTTGGTTCAAATACCCCCACTGCCACTTTGAAATGTGGGATACTGAATGTATGAGGTGCTGTGGGTGCTTTAATTAGAGCATCTATGAGAGCCACTCTAATTAAAGTGACTCCACCCCACCCCACCCTTGGATCACCTGTAAAGACTATGGTTACATCCTGCCTTACTTTCTGCCTGACTTCAGATTAAATGACTAACTACCTCTGTGATCATGGGCTAATGTTCACTGACTCTAGCTACTTCTTAGAAGCAAGGGTGCGCAAGTCAAGATCTATTAGGGGATGAGCTGCTGCTAGAAGGATCTGCTGTGACTTGGATGCAAGCCCCCAGAGCATTTGCAAGCCAGAAACTGGACTGTATACACAGGGGCACTTACAAATTAACAAACCACTGTGCCCTGAGGGCAAAAGACTTGTTGTTTGGCTTTTCAAATATTTTTTATGTAATAAAGAGGTTTAATAAGGATGTATCATGGGCTATTGAGACTGCCCTGATGAGCTGTGTGGTGTGCATCTCTGGGCTGCAGTAACAGTGAGTCTGAGGGGGAGCATGCTAGATCTGATCTGTGTCTCAGCCATGTAAAACCAGTTTCTCTGTCTTGCTTCCTGTGAATGGAGGAGTTGAGTAGTTTTAAGGAATTTGTAACAGGTCAGGAATTTAATGTTAACCTGCTTTCTCTGAATGATCTTCATCAAAGAATGAGTGGGGGGAAATTAGAAGTAAAATTGCTTTCTACATTCTCAGTTGGAATTAAGTATAAAGAAGATAATAGAGCTCTTCCTTCAATTATGCAGTCTGTGAGAAAAGAAAAGCAGTATTTTATGACCAAGGAATCTCTCACAAATGAAATAATAACTTTATTCCTGCTCCACATTCTCAGCACGTGTTGGAACAAATCTTTTCGGTTGATTTTGGAGACAACATGATGTTGCAAGATCAATTTGCTGCTTAATCATATCAGGGATCCTGGTTTTCTCTGATTTAAAAATTACAAATTCTCTGATAAAAATGGTAAATTATCTGATTTAAAAAAACAAAATCCACAATTAAAATTAAACTGTTTGAGCATGGTCATGTGTGTAATTTCTAATTCCTAAAACAATAAATGTTGGACATGCTAGTAATGTAATCCAGAGGGGCTTTTCCTTTTCCTTTTTTTTTTTAACTTATTACATTGTTATAGCTGTCAGTTTAGTTTTATTGGGAGTTCAAATTCTGTCTGTTCAGCACCGGTCTAAAGTGATACCAAAATCTATTAACAACTTTAACAAAACAGCCTATCAGATATGTGAAAGCTGTTGTTTCTCCCTTGAGACCACAGTTTGTTATCAGAGTTAACAGTCACAGGATATTATTGGAGTCTCTAGAAAGACTTGTACTTCCTTGTCTGGCTCGGAGATGATGACAGTTTCTTTTGAATGTAGCCTTTGCTCCCATAATTATAACTCTGTCATTTGAATACTGAGTAACTTCACTGAGTTAAATGATGCCTTAAATAAGCTTCTGGTTGGTGCAAATGCAGGAAGGAGCCGCTATCTGCTTATTCGTGTGTGGTTCTACTTGTAGGTGCATTGTCTATATAGGCTGCCTGTTCGTTGCACTAAGAACGCTGCCTCGATGGGCACATCTACATGGATGCTTAACTGCACAGTAGCATAGTTTACTGTGAAGTAAGCATGTGGGTCTACATATGCACATTTACTATGCAATAGACCTCCCTAATCCTGAGTAAATTTGCTACCTGAAAATGCAGGTAGCAGATTTACTCAAGATTAGTAATGGTGCAGTAGTGCTCATGTAGGTGCCTAATCAGGAGCAAAATCTGCTCCTGGTCAGCCATCCACGAGGGGGTGGGAGATGGTTCAAGTCCAGGCTATTGTGGCAGAGCCTGCCCTAGCAGCAGGCAGCTGTCCCCCTGCCCTGACAGCAGAGAGCTCTTAACCCCCTGCTCCGAGATCATGATTGGGGAGGGGGACGGTGAGAGATGAGTCTCCCAGCACCAACTCCAAGGTAGCAGAACTGGTGCTGGGAGCTCCCTGCTGGCAGGGGAGCCTGTTCCCCACCTCGCTCCACGAGCACTAGGGAGTTTGTTCTCCACTCAACTCTGCACTCACAGAGTAGGGCAGGGAACAAGCTCCACAACCTGTTCCCCACCCCCAGCTCCAGGATCACGGAGCAGAGCAGGAAACAAGTTGCCCAGCCTCTGCCCAGCATGCAGGGTGGGGGCTGTGAACTGTCCTGGTCAGGGACAGGTCCCAGCCCCATGTCCTGATTGGGTGATTGATGCACAGGGCTTAGAAAGAGCTACAGGGGTGGGTAAGTCCCAGGCCCCTTTCCCGATCTGCTGGTGGGACAGCTAGCAGTGAGCTAGCTGGTAGCTGCCCCACTGATGGATTGGGGCAGGGGGCTGGGACCTGCCTCACCCCTGCAGCTCTTTCTGGTGCTCCCTGCCAGCCCCTGGGCTAGAACCCAGGGTGGGTCTAGGCCCCCTCCTCTTTTCCACACCCCCCCCCCGGTGGTGGCAGGGGCCCATTGCAGAGCTACAGGAAACTTGGTACAAAGAGCAGCAAATCTGTTCCCTAATCCCCATATGTGTAGACACCTGCCTGAAAGCACTTACTCCAGATTAGTTTACACCAGAGTAAATTTAGGCCAGATCAAATGCATGTGTAGACGTGATAACGTTCTGACACAAAAGCTTATTTCCACTGACTGATCGCTATACTTGCAGTCAACAAAGACACTCAGGGCAGATGCCTGCACTTTACAGGAAAGAAGAAGCAGTTGGAAGGATTGTTCTGCGCAGCTCCCTCTGGAACTTGCTGTCTTCCTTCCCCATCCAGTATAGATTTGCTAATACTAATAAATAATAATGTTCCCTGCCTGCCACATTTGTATATTGAAAAGTCCATCCTTTTTCACAGGCTTCAGGAAAGAATGGGGCTGGGGAAGGAATTTTGTGTTCATGGGACAGGAAGAATAGTTTTCTAATCTTAGGAACTCCTAAGGGTTTAAATTTTATGCAGTTGTGTTTTATAATCTATGATGCAAATGCATTAGGTTTAGAAGCATTGCTTTCTGTAATCTGACTCTAAATGCTTTGTATTTGTGTGCATTTTGAGCCAAAATCTGCAGTCCTTGCTTGGCCAAATTTCCCTGTAGAGGATCTCCCCTTGGAGAGCTTTGCCCAAGTAAGAACAGTAGGGATCTGTCCCTTAGGGGGCAGATAATACTGCTTGAAAAAATATTTCTTTTTCTGTTTTTGGTTTTCAGGCAATTACACTTTAAGAGCTGACTGCACCCCTCTCCTCTACCAATTGGTGTATAATCTGACAAAAGAGGTACAAAACTGAAGTGTTTACTGTATATGCCTTTCTCATAACTGACATAATACTCAAGTGTATGATGAACTCCTTTATGTTAGACATGTTATGCAGCATTTTCAGGGTGTTTATTTCTTCATCTCCTCCCCTTATCATTGTTACTCCCTCCTTCTTGCATTCCTGTCTTTTTTTCAACTCAAAGACATTTCCCTAGGAGAATTGTGTGCAAAAGGGGGACCCCCCTCTGCCTAAAACCCAAAGTTGGACACCTCCATTTAGAAGCAGAGAATTGGAAGGAATTCTCAGGCTCTTCATCCAGCCGACTTCCTGCACACATGGAGAATTTGCTGTTCCTGAGCCATGCCAGACAGATGGCTATCCAGCCTCTTTTGAATACCTCAAATGAAAGAGATTCCTCAGTCTCTAGGTAGCATGTATTATTGTCCTACCACTCTTGCTATTGGGAAGTTATCCCTGAGATTTGAACTAAACCTATTTTTGATGCAGCTTAAATTCATGCCCTCATGTCCTGCTCTATCTAACAAAGGATGACAACTATTTTCATCCTTCTTTATGATCCTTTCAAGTATTTGAAATGTTTTTAAACTGTTGCCATGTTGCCGCTTAATTTTCTTCTCATCCAAACTAAACATACCTAATTCCTTCAGCCACTTCTTGTACAACTTGTTCTTCAACCCCTTTTATCATTTTCATTTCCCACCTCTGTATTCAGCTTCTCCACCTCCCTCTTAAAAAGCAGAACTGCACACAGTGCTCAACCCAAAACCTGACCAATGACGTCTAAACTGGTGCTGTCACTTCCTGTGTCCTGAATACTTCTGTTAACATGTAACAACATCACACTGCTGACTTACGTTGAATTTGTGATTCACTATCACCCCAGACAGTTCTAGTGCCAAGCTAATTATCCACTATTCTGTGTTTGTGCATTTGGTGTGTAGCACTTTACACTTGTTTGTGGTGAATTTTTTTTATTTATTTTTTACAGCCTAGTCCTCCAATTCATCAACATCCCTTCAAGGCTTACTCCTGTCTCTTGAAAGGGTTTGCAACCCTTGTGAATTTTTATCATCTGAAAATTAGACCAGTATATTCTTTATCTCTGTATCAATCTTGTTAATTAAAATCTAAAATAGCACTGTACCCAGAGCAGATTCCTTTGGAACCACACTGGAGATCTCGTGTTGGTCTGATTCATTTATAGTACTCTTTGCTTGCAGTCATTCAACTAATTGTCCATGTAATGATAATTCTGCCTTGCCCAAAGTCTGCTCCCTTTCTTTTGAGAAAGCCATGTGTGGACTGTGTTGGAAGCCTTTAGATAGACAATTCCCATCAAAATACCAGATATTTGAAAGACACAAACATATCTAGGCCCTGTGCTGATGTTAAGCATTTGAATGCTACAGAAATGTAATACAGAACAATGGATGTCCCCATAAGCACTCAGTAATGGAATACCCTTTTCTTGTCAGTGAATTCCCAGAAGTACATTGCATTCATTCATATTTTCCAGTGGTTCATTTATCACATAGAGGTAGGTATATTGTAAAGAGCTGTCACTGAGAAGCCTGCAGTCTCCAAGTTATTTGAAGTTGATTTTGGAACAATCTGGTTTTTATTTCATTAGTTTGCAGACAAAAAAAGACAAAGCTGTAACTCTGTTTTTCTTTCTCATGCATCGAAAAATAGTGGTAGCATTTTCTGAGTCTCTGTCTTCATTCAGAGGACATGTTCTTAATTTTTTTTTTTTTCCTACTCTGCTGTCTTCTTTGGAGGGGGGGGACCTAAAGGCTAGTGCTACAGTTTTTTCCTTATAGCAGTCTGCTGCTTCTTGCTTTATCTCAACATACATGGACAATGTCAAGAACTCATAGGTTTTTGGACAAAAGGATGTTCATGCTTGATATAGTGATGCCTCTGAAGCAGCTAAGTTATACTACTCTCTTTAAGATTGTAGCAGTTCCCAGCATATGTTGAGAGTCCACCTATGGAGAAAGACAATACAAGATCCAGTCCCATTTTATCCTTTGAGACAGGGCATTGATATGTTCGAAGTATTATTAGCCATATGCATAGGGTTGAATTTCACCTGTGGGGAAACAGCAGGGCAAGGAGACGGTTGCATTTTAATGCAAATGTGAATGGAGGCTATATGTAGGTGTCAAAGTAAGTTTGTGCTAAGCATAGTCCTGAACAGAAACAGGGCTCAAGATGTCTTATGAGGTTTTGAAATCGTATAACTGCATTGCCTGATTGCAGAGGTGACTTCAGAGGAGACATAAGCTTAATCATGATCCTGAATTGAGATGCTTAGCTACTTGCACCTTCTTTGGCCTTTTTCCCATTGCAAGGCTGGAATAACTACATAGCCACATGGTAGCACTTGCTTTAATGCAGCATTAATCACTTCCGTCCTGTTTGTCATGTTTTATCATGTGTTTATACTTGCAAAACTGTATGTGCGCTATGCAGATCCCCAAAGTCTGGGGGGAGCTCGCTCAGTCCTAGGACTGGATCTAAGCCATTGCAGGTAACAAGAGTCTTGTAAGGCTTGTTAGGTGAAGAAGAGAGCAAATAGTTTTTATATCATCTGATAATAGCTTGGCCCACATAATCGGGATAAAGTCTATACAAGGGCACAGAGTATTTTACTCCATGATGTCAAAGTTCAGCTTCCCCTTATTAATATGTCATTTTCAATTTAGCCCTAAAGTCTGACCAAAGTGCCCTGGAAATGACAGCTGGCAGGCAGTCGCTTCAGAAAATTGTTGTTTCTGCTAGCTGCAGACCTAATCTCAGAGGTCAAAACCTTAAAAATTTCCAATATATTTTCAATACTGAAAGTGAACCTATACCTTATTTTTGTAATGGTTTATCAAGCAAATTTGTTCATGGGGCACTTTCATGTGGTTCTCTCTCTCTCTCTCTCTCTCTCTCTCTCTCTCGTCAAATCAGTGTAATTTTAGAGACCTTTTTAAAGAACCCCACTTATCTGCCGTTATAATCCTTAAAGAAGGAAGGCCAGTGCTTGGGTTCCTGGGTCAGGAGATCTAGATTTGATGTGCAGCTGAGCCACAGTTCTCCTAATAACCGTGGGCAAGTCATTTTATCTGATCTCAGCCTGTCCCCATCTGTATGATCCTTACCTTGTCTACCTGTGTTTGTGATTTGCAATTTCCTTGAGGTAACGATTATTTATCACTAAATGCATGTGCAATTCACTGTGTAACAGGGCTTGAAACTCTAGATGCCGCTGTAATATAAATAATTATTTTTATGACTCAGATCCTGCCCTGCAGTACAGTTCTTCATCTTGCACAAAGCAGCCATAATGCAGTCTTAGGCTGACTGTGAAGTATTTCCCCTGCGTCAGCAGTACCTTGAGTAGACTGGGACTGTCTGTTTCCAGTCTCTGGCATGGAGGATATTCCTAATGGGAAGAGGGTGAGGCTGGGGAATTTCTGGGTGTCAGAGCAGTCTCTTGGGACCATGGGGACTAGATACAAATCGGAGGATCCCAACTGGTCCCAGCACTGAACTGGTGTCAATGACTTTGCCATTCTCCACCCGTTCCAAGTGGATCTGGGATGCAGCCCATAATTGGGGTCTATGCATTGTAAATAACACATATAAGGTCACATGTGTGCCTGTGATTTTAGGTGAAGGAGTATATCAATTAGCACTTTACATCTCTAAACCTAAATTAGAAAGTGAGGCATTTTTAATAAGAGCATGTGCTTTGCCTCTCCAGATCTCAAGCCCTGATGAGGGCTATGAAAGCAAGTCTCTCTATGAGAGCTGGCTTGAAAAGGACCGCTCACTAGATGATGATGATCAACCCAGGTAAGTCTATTAAACTGTAACAGGTGTTCCCTTCAATCCCTCCTTCCCTTGGTATTTCAAATGTTTTGCAGGGTTTTGTTTGAAGGACATCTTCAACAGTTAGGATACAAAACTTTCTGGTAGAAGATGACCATCTAGCAATATCTATGATCTAAGAGCACTTTATAAAGCCACACCGGTAGCATCGCTGCCAATTCCAAAATTAAATCTCTGAATGCTTAGAGGTCTTATTAATAAAATGCATTGGAAAACAATTGTAGTGTAGTCATAGATGTATAGGGAATTGTATGGAACTCAAGAGATCTTCTAGTCCAGTGGGGGCCAACCTTTTTGTAGCCATGCCACAAATTAGCCTTGTACTCCCCTGTGGCCCTTGCCCCATCCCCGGTCAGCTGCAAGCCACACACACAAGCTGCCTGCGCCAGAGGTTGGCCACCCCTGGTCTAGCCCAATTCCTGCACTGACACATGATCAAGTTGGTTAGAATAGCCAAGTAGTTGACCTACTACTCCATCCAGTTCCTTTTAATAAGTCTGAATGCTTTTGTACTGGCTCTATATTTTTAGATATAGTTGACTGTAAAAGACTAACACCTTTGTATATTTAAATATACAAGGTGACCTAGAGCAAACAGTGCTGAATTCTAAAAGATCCCTTTTGGAAATTATACAGTTAGTTGTGTGCTCCTGACTGGCAAAGGAAAGTCCCTAATTACGAAATGGAAATAATTATACTATTAAGGCAAGTGGGTTTTAACAAACGTTACTTGTCTCAAGTGCCCCAAGCCTGTGGGCCCAGCCTCAAGCCTCAGCTCTCATAAATAATCCCAGTAAATTAGTGAAGTTATTTCTCACCTTTTTAAGAGCTGCTTTCCAAGTAGATCAGCAGCTTTACTGGCTTCAGTGAATCCCCACTGGCTAAGAAGCATGTTAAATATTTTTGACATGCACACAGATTATTTTCCTAAAAGCATGTGTATGCTCATAATAAAAACCTTAGCCAGAATTTTATGTCTGCTCCCCCGTGCCCCTCCCCATTATTATTGAATGCTACTTTTATTTTTGGTTATGTTACCATATCTATCCAGTAGATGGTGGTGTTCACCTATAAGTAACAAAGGCAACTGCCTTTTACACAGTAGAAATTCTTTGCCCAGCTTTGACTGTATGGTAATCTCCCACGAGTATGGAAATACATCTTTGTAGATAGTCTCCCAATTTATTTGAGTGTTGAAGAGGTTTTTAATGCTTGAATCCCCTGATATTTATCTCTCTCACCTCCTTTTCCCAAGTATTCTACAGTGATGACTTTGTCCAAAGTCATGTTGGTTTGAAATTTTACTACTAGCCCTTTGCATAAATATTCAGTCATAGTTTAGATGTAGTCAGACTGTAGTCTCATTTTGGTACCTTTTTTTGCTGCACATAGAATCAACAAACTGGGCTCAGGCAGTGATTTTGAAGCTTATTTCCAGCGATTGGGAATTGCATCTGGCAGAGTCCGTTATACCAAGAATAGGGTAAGTCCTCTAAGTTGCCTGACAATAAAACCAATTTGTGGCTTTATTTTGAAAAGTTATCTGCTTGACAGTTGTACACCTGTTTCAAAGATTTTTTTCCGCGTGTAAAAAGATCAACGTTGGAATTTTGCAAAGCAATAAAAATGTGAAGAATAATTCACCTATTATAATGAGGTGTGCATTTTAGACACTTACATTTAGATAGCCACTTGGTCACAGAGTAGTCTATACTATCTGTCTTTAGACATAGCTATTATTCCAACATTCATCAGAATCCTCTTATATATATTTTTTTTTTTTTAACTCTAGTAACATGTTTTATCTAACTAGTAAAAAATCACCCTTCTAAAGGACCTTGCTAAATGAAAGGTTTGTCCAATGTTTCCTTTATTTTTGGAAGGCAACTGTCCAAAAAGTGTAGTTTTATGTTTAACCCAGTTTATAAAATGTTTTGCTAACAATTCTTGCAAAACTCTTACAATGATGTTATGGCCAACTATAGTTTAAGATGTCTGCTAAACTTGCATTTTTATTTTTTTTTTATGAAAAATTAAGGTAAGATGGTTAAGCGAAGCCTAATTCTGCAATAAACATGTTTTAGGGTTTATAATTGTGGAGCTCTGTATATTTGCAAAAGGTCCATTATAGAACAGAAAAGGCTGGAAGTCTGATGCCTGGGGAGGGGAGAGGTGAAGATGGGGGTGAAGGGCTTGCCGTTCTGTATCTTGTGTAGACATTTCCAGATTTCTAAGATGGGTTCCTGAACTGTATCTTTTAACACTCAAAGTGGGTAGAGAAGTGCAAGTGATTACAAAGAAATGGACCTTGTGATCTAGTCTTCTGTTCTGATGAGTTCACAGCATTTCAAAAGCATAGCTATAAGGTCAATAGCAGTGGGAACTAATACAGTCGGTACAGAAAAGAGGTAACATCAGAGGCTTTTTCAGGTTGGGACATAAGTAGTATCTCAAGGAAAAAAAGAAGACAACATGACATAAATAGTGAAAGACCATTCAATGTACAGGACGTTTAGTTGGAAACAGTGGCAGGTATGAGAAAGTTAAGAATGAAGAATAGGAGTATTATATTCCATTGCAAGGTAAGGAAGAGGAAATGAGGGAACGGATGTAGCTAAGTGTACCAGCCAATTAGTCTAATTGCACAGGATTCCAATGAGGCTACACATGTATGGATCGGACACTTGGACTGGTTTTCTTTTGGGTGCTATGCACAGACTTTTCAGAGCTCAAGATAATTCCAGAAATAAGCTATAAAAAGAAGAAATGCAATACCCTCTCACTGTTGGGAAATACTCCATGGATTCAGATTGGTTTTGTTCCGTAAGAGTTGCACGCAAAATCAGTGAGAGTGTGTCACACATCTGGAAATTTGTGTTTTCTCACGTGGAAGCTAAGGGATCTCTGGTAGTTTTAGTCTGACCCCTCAGGTAGTTTGAATTTAAACATCCCACATGCTTGATTGTTTTTTTCCTTCTCTCTTTCAGAAAGCAGACAAGTATAGCAATTACCCAGTCTACCACACTGTCTATGAGACTTTTGAGCTAGTAGAAAAATTTTATGACCCCACATTCAGGAAGCAGCTTGCTGTTGCCCAGTTACGAGGCAGCCTAGTCTATGAGCTTGCAGACTCGCATGTCATTCCTTTTAACTGTCAAGATTATGGAGAGGCCTTAAGAAAATATGCCAAGCGAATCTATAATTTGGCCAAAAAACATGAAGAACAGATGGAGACTTACGAAGTGTCATTTGGTGAGTAATAGCCCTGTGGTCTCCAAACACTTGGATGTCCTAATTTAATTAGAATTGCACCAAGGCAAGGAATATTGGGGGGTGGGTTTCTGTCCCTAAATAGCCAAACTGTTCCTTTGCATTTCAGTTGTGCCCCTGCACCAGAATTAACTCTTTAAAATCTTCCCAAGAAATTTCCCACTCTATAGCACAGCCTTAAAACATTGCTGTCCAAATATCTATTATACCATTGTCTTATATCTTGCTCTTATTTGCAGTAACCAAGAGCCCCAGGCATAGACCATGACCAATTGATGCATGCCAGGGTATTGTTGGCCCTGCTAGCTACAACATTGCACTGCCAGCTCTTGTTCATACTGTGGTCAATTATTACACCCAGGTCTGTGGTGGCAGGTGATGGGGGATCTTCAGCCCTGCTGCCTGATGAGAGGCAGTAGTTGCACAAGCACCCATGACATGAGTTTTGCCTGTCAGCAGCTAGGGGTGCCAGGTCCCAGAACCCCCCTGCACTGATCTCCTTGACAGCTGGCAGGCTTCATGGCCTCCGCCGGGGCCAGCAGGCCTGTCACCCTGCTGCGCCTGAACACATGCAGTGTCACCATGTCACGAGTTTTGCTGGTCGGCAGCTTGAGGCACAGTTTCCCCCAAACCCCTGCACCTACCTCCTTGAAATTTGGCAGGCTTTGTGGCCTCCACAGGGGCTAGCATGCTGGTGGTTTTGACTCTGCTGTGGCTTAACACGTGCACGTGACATGAGTTTTGCTTTCAAGAGTTTGGGGTGTAATTTCCCCAGACTCCCTGCACCTATCATCTTGAAACTTAGCAAGCTTCATGCCCCTAGAAGGGGCTACCATTCCAGCAAGTTTCATCCAAATCAGGTTAGAATGACAAAGTTATAGGCTGTTTTGACCTTCCCCATTATATCCTATGGGGAAAATAGCAAAACTGTTTCGACGGGATGGAACAGATCAGCTGTTTCGACTAGAAACAAAATTCAAAACAGAACAATATTCTGTTAAAACAGACAGCTGCTGTTTTGCACAGCCCTATGGGTCTTATGTCCTTTGGACCCTGAGGGGCAGGACTGGACTCTGACTCCTGCAGGAGTGCAGATAGTAACAGCTAGTTAAAATATGACAAACATAACAATAGAGTTGTTATAGAAATATAACACTAACATGGCTTAAAACGGATCAATTTTCTTCTTTCTAATACCCATATCTTATATGGAAAAATGCTTTATTATGTTGAAAAGGCACAATTTCTTGGGGGATAAAAATCAATGTAGAAAAAAAGACTCTGGGGGGTGAGGGGGGAATTCAAGGATTATTATGCCAGAAGAGACTAGTATGGTCTTTTAGCCTTACTTCTTGCATGATAGAAGCTATAGGACTTCTCTCATTGAATTCTTGGTTGTATTGCAACATGCCATTTTGCCAAACAATCTTTATTTTAAATTTTTCAACAGTGGAGAATCCACTACTGCCCATAGTTCATTAGAAATATAAGACGTTACCTGGGAGATTTCTTCAAGTTTAGTACGCTGTGTTTGCAGACAACAATTTTTCAGCAGTCACAAAGCCCTGATAAAAATAACATGCCACACTTTCTCACCTATAGCACACCCTAGAATATAACATGCACCCTGTTTTTGAAAGGCAGCATAAAGGGGGGAAAAAGCTCTTATTCTGTAGTACGGTTAAGTAAGTGGGTAGCAGCTGCTGCTACTCAGTTCCTTAACCAAGCTTGCTCCTGAGCCTGCTGTCAGCCTGGATGGGGCCCATGGACCAACCCCACAGGCCAGCCCAATCCATGGCGCCAGGTCCAGGGCTGTGTGCAGGGTCTAGCCATGGACCAACCGTGTGCGCCAGCTAAATCTGGTGTACTGGGCTGGGTCTTCCAGCTGGGGAGATCTCTGCAGATCTAGATCTTTGGCAGCATTTGGGCAGCAGCAGCATTAATTGTTGTGGCTCCCAGAGACACCACTACCACCAAAAAATGTCCAGAACCATGAGGGTCTATATATCTTGCATATGATGCATACCCCCAAATTCTCCTTGCTGATTTGGTGAGAAAGTGAGTGTTTTATGTGAGAAAATGCAGTACAATGTCACGGGAAGGGAATGGTGGAGACAAGGGTATTGTAGATGCAGAACTTAGTAAGTAAAATCTGGGCAGCTGTTTCTAGGTAGTGAACGATGTCTCTCATTATGGAGGAAGGCTAAAATACCCCCAACAGTTCTTGTTAACTTGAACTGAGGGGCTGAATTCCTTCTTGAACTGGTTTGGTTTGGTTTGGTTTGACCCTGAGTGGATGAGCAAGACTCGCCAGCCAGTTACGGGAAAGGAGTCTCACTGCTGTTTAGCCCCAGCATCCCTGCCTGTGTCCACAACCCACGTGAAGGTCAAGTTTCTTTTCAGCTGCCCTCACGGGAATGTCAGATACACGGAGCCACCTCATGTCCTCTAATTACTATTGTCATATGATCTCTTCCTTGAACTTACAAGCAATCCAGGCTCTTTCTGAACCTATTTTGCCAGGGATACCATTCCAGAACTGCACCTCTCAAATGGCTATTATCCTCAGTGCTAAAAATGTGCACATTGTTTTTAGTCTAAACCTGCCCAGTTATACTGTTCAGCCAAAAAGATCTCTTTCTATCTTTTTTGGCTAGAGTGAAGGGCCTGTCTGTTATCAAAGTTTCATGCTTACTCATTTCTGCAGCTGCATGTAGATACTTACAGATGTGACCAAATTATCTCTTAATCTTCTTTAATAAACAAAATACATAGGACATCTTGAAGCTGTTGCTTGTGGCCATGTTTTTCCAGTCCTCTAATCATTCGTGTAGCTCTCTGAATTCGCAGCCAAATCAGCTTCTAATATTATACTTTTGCTTTATTGTTACTCTTATACTAAAGTAGCTGGAATCATAGCAATCTTCTAGAGGGTACATGAGAGGAAGGAACAAGAAAGCAGAAAAGGGGGTAATATAAATGGGGAAAAAAGGAAGACTAATTGTACATTATTCCTGAGATTGTTCAGAGAGGGTGCAATGCATCAATAAGGACATGAAGTGTTCCCTTTTATTATCCATAACGCAGAATCATAGCGGTAAAACAGCAGTCTAACAAGCTTAAAATATTTGCCAATGCCAAATGTGTAAAAATTGAAAGTCTGGCTCCAGGAAGTCATAGGGTTGGCTTTATAAATATAGGAATGGGTGGGGGTTTTTTGTTTTGTGGTGTTTCAAAACACTTATAAATAGGGTATACACTTCATACCTTCCTCTGCAACACTGAGGAAAAGATACTTTACATAATCACATGATTGCAGAGATTACCAAAAACACCTCATCCTATGTTATCCATGATAAAAAAAATGGCATATATGGATTTCCAGTGACAAATGCACTCCTGTATGTTCAGATTACCTTTCTTTTTCATCTTAAATCCTCTTCTAATGCATGTGAAACATAATCTGTTGATACAACATGCCTGTGATGTCAACAAGAGCTAAACTCTGTCCTTGGATGCATATACAACTCCCATCCAGAGAGAGCTACACAAATGCAGCCAAGGACCGACTCATCTAACAGGCTGAGAACTTAGTTCTCTAAATGCACTTGAAGGGTAAACATTGGGGAAAGTAGAGAGTAAATTAAGCTAAAGTAGAGAGGAATAAGTAAGTGGCTATAAATAAACTTAAGATGAAAATTAGAATATGATTTCTAATGATGAGCAGAGCGTGATTCTGAAATGGTAGGAATTCTTGGGGCCAGAAACCTGACTAGTTTTAAGATGAAATTTGATAAGTTATGAAAGAGATTATAGGACCTAGTTACATCAGGGAACTGGACTTCTTACTTGGTTTTATACCATAGGATCCTGCGTTTCTCTATAAAGGACTGGTAGGAGATGCCTGACAGAGACATTTTTACATCAACCAAGATCTTCTGAGCCACATGGCTCAGTTTGAGTCCCATGAGTGCAGGGTAGACATGTCCTAAATCTGGACATGTGGACAAGACCTACCGAGAGGGAAATCCTTCAGTCCTTGCACAGGCTGGTGGACATCACTCTTCTTCATGTAAACTCAGCATTTGATCTAAAGCTAAAATCCCCAGCCTTCTCCAACCTGCTGTCTTTTTGGTAGGAGGCTCCCCCAGGAATAATTTTTAGCACATATAAATGAAATATTTCTAATGTCTTTCTGTAGGATTTTTACTGGCCACTTTTCTTCGGTGCTATTAGCATGGTCAAAACACTTTTCAGATTATGAGAGGATACTGCAAACCTTAACAAGTCAGATCCAGAAGCAGTAGGGAAGCTGAGAATCTTGGGCCAGGCAACACTTTATCTTTTTAAATGACTAATAATCACTATTAAGTGAAACATTTATTGTTTCAGACTCTCTGTGGGAGGCTGCTGTATAAGAGCTCTTTCTATTTCTAGAACCTCTCTTTTCTGCTGTGAGGAATTTCACAAAGGCTGCTGCTGACTTCCACAGAAGGCTGGAGCAGGTTGACTTGAAAAAGTAAGTTAAAAATATGTCTTGACAAAATAATATCCATGGTTTGCTTAGGGCCAAGCCCTCCTGGCCTTAATCAAAGAAAACTCCCTGTTGAAATGAATAAGTTGTGCCGGAGAGAGGGCTCCAGGACTGTAGCCTTGGCATGTTCTTTGTTTCTTGTGAACACTCATTGATGAGCAGTGACAGCTGGAGACCTTTTGTGATATCAGTGCTAATAAACGCTTAGATAAATGAATATTTTTTTTAATGTAAAAAGCACTCAGCTATGACAAAAATTATACTCTTTCTTCAACAAGATTTTTAAAAAATGTTTCCTTTTTTCTGAAGAAGGAGTTTTCCTATTTTGCTTTATGTAATGAAAGGTCCCCTCAACCTAATGTGTGTCACATAGTAAGGTTTGCTATTGGATTAGTACATCTGATGCATAGTGTTGCATTATGCTTTACAGAGAAGGACATCAGTAAATTTTGTTTTCTGCCTGAAAGGAAGGTTTAAGCCCTGTGTGTCACTTTCCTCATTTCGAAGATGGAGATAATAATACTGGTTAACCTAACAAGGTGCATTGGGAGGAATCTATAGTCCCATGGACACCCAGTACTTAACAGAGTCAAGCACTGTTTCTATATGAAATGACTGTCTTCATTCCTTATAGCCCACTTGCAGTGCGAAGCATGAATGATCAGCTGATGTTTGTGGAAAGAGCTTTCATTGACCCTCTTGGCTTACCAGGCAGGAAATTTTACAGGTAAGTTACTGAAACAGAATAACCCTGTTGCAAGGCCAGATAAGTGGATGTACATTGGAGAGGGCTCATGATGGTAGCAGTAACGCCGGGATGCCTCGAAGCTCTCAGATTTTGGTTTGCTATGAGGATCATTAGTTACCCTGGTGTGGACCAGGTTGCTGTGACATGAAAGCTGATCCATTGTCAGCCAGGCCTCATGATGAACTATGTTGTTGTGGTTTATGTCTCAATCTGAAATTTTAAAATTAGCTCAAGCCCAAGAAAAGGGCAGACTCCTTGGACTTGGCTTTCTCCCTCAATTTTCCCTGGTAGCTTTTAACCAAACCTATCAAGGTGCTTACCAGAGTGTTTTTTAGCACAGGGTTTTGGCCTTACTTTCTTTGTATAAAGTTGTCCCAGGATTGTTCTGGGTTTCTGTGCTGACCCCTAAAGTAGATTTGGGGGTCTAAGTGTTTTTTGAGTGCCCCGTTCTTATGCAAAAAGAATCATTCAATGGAGCGAACGCAGAAGCAAACTGGTAGAATTCACCAAATATGAACATTGCTAACAAATAAAGAAGAGCACAATATGTATCTCAAAATACTTTTATGATCCAAGCAGAAATAAGCACTCTTAGCATCTCTACATCTTAAAATCCTAAGAATTGCTAATAGGTGGCCAGCCTGGTAGGGAGACCTTACCAAAATCTGGAGACTAAGTTTCAGGAGGCGCTGAATCTTCGTTATGGCTGTGGACAGGAACCTCAGCAAAGGATGCCTGAGGAACACATCTTGGAGTACTTTTTATCCCTCTCCTGAAACTAATACCCCTGGCAGATGTGCAGTTAAAGGCATAATAGGATCTTGTGCATGATCCCAATAAGCATGCTTCCTGCCATGCCACACATGTATAGCAGGAGGTGCAATGATGGGATGTAGCATCAGATCCCAGTCACCCCTATTGCCAGTGCAAGGGGAGCCCAATATCACCATCCTGGTTGGGTGCCTGACAATCACCTGATCATTCGCTGGCTCTGGGGACCCATGGGGCCATCCATTCAAGCACCGCTTTTGTCCCCAGAATGGCCAAAGTCCAGCTGATTGGCCAAAGATTGGCTTAAGTCCTGGGGCAGACCCAACCTGTAGTTGGTTGGCAGGGATCACTCCAGAGTGAGGGGGAGTCCCTGCTAGCTGACAATCAGCTGAGTGTCATGCCTCTGGGGTTTGAGCCCCAGGGCCACCCCAATCTCCCATTAGTTAGTGGGGCCTGGCCTAGGATTCCCATCCTGGGCGGGGGGAGGTTTCTGCCAGCTGACAGAAGATCAGGGTAGACCTGGGGCTTGAGCCTCCGAGCTGTCCCTATCAGCTGTCAGGGACCACATGGGGCTCAAGCCTTAGGCAGTCCCTACCAGCTAATGGGAGCTGGGGGCAACTACTTACAACACTACTTAAGGGAATCTTTTAGAAATGCAGTCAGAGACACTTTTGCGCTATCCCGTTGGGCAGATAAAATGTTCTGACCTGAACTTTTAATCAAGATTTGATGTCTTAAAACTGGTCTTTTCAAGAAGTTTTTCATGCTAATGACTCACTTCATTTTACATGACTTCCCCATGCCTCATTTATGCTAACATGGCCTAATTTAGATGTGTTAACTTTAAAGGCCAGCTAAAGCTACTGTAATGCAAGCTAAAAGGATGCTAGCTCAACACAGAGGTCTGCATCTTGCTCCCAGGCAACTGCTGGTTTCTTCAGTTTCCCCTTGGAAGAACGCTCCACTCCTGATCACACAGTCACACACACGGACGCTGAGAGAAGACAGTCTTTTTTATTTTGTGCTCTTTTTCCTAGTGGGCTTTGCTTCTCGTTATATGATCTGGGAGGAAAACTAGACCAAGCATCCATGAGGTCCCTTTAAACACAGTTCCTTGTATCTTTCATTTATAGATTCAGTAAATTCTGGCTCTCCATTGAATTTTCATTTGCTTTCCATGGTAGGCAGCTTTATAAATCCCCTGGCAGAGAGGAGTCATGTTTTTTACAACAGCTTTCATTTTTGTATGCCTGAGATTCTCTTTCTCTTTCCCCACAGACATGTTATCTTTGCTCCAAGCAGCCACAACAAGTATGTTGGGGAGTCCTTCCCAGGGATCTATGATGCCCTGTTTGATATTGAAAACAAAGTGGATCTGCAGAAAACCTGGGAACACGTAAAGAGACAGATTTCTATTGCAGCTTTCACCGTGCAGGCTGCAGCAGGGACTCTGAAGGAAGTAGCATAAGAAGATGGCATCACTGGGCGCATCCATGTGGCTAGCTCCAAAAGTCACTGCAACGAGCACTACTGTGACCGAATTCTTCTATGTATAAAGTACTATGCTTGTAATCCATGACACGGGAGAGGGTAGTAAAGAAATTATGGGTTTGGAAATATTGCTGCTGCTCTGCAACTGCAAGACCTGGTGCTTTCAAACCCTCAGGCTGCATCTTCACTCAAAAAACTGGAACCCATGATTTGCCATTGGCCACATCTGCAAGTTGTACTAGGTAGAAGTTATAGCGTAGGCAGACTGATGAGAGGGAGAGTTCATAGCAAGCTGTCTGTTCAGAGCAGGGTTAAAATACTATCTGAATGTTTGGAGGCTTTTTTAACTCAGTTTATGCATGTGAAAATGCATATTCCAGTCAAATGAAATTATATACAATTTTTGAAGACTTTTGGTCAAGAAAAGCCAGCATTTGGTGTTTCAAAATGAAAATTACTGTTTTGAAATGTGTCCAAATTGAACTAAAAAAAGAAGAAAAACCCACTCACAACAACCTTAAATAGTTTGTTTCCTGGAAATGTTTTGGTTGACGTAAAGCAATACCTTACTTTTCTTTTTGGTTTGGCCAGGAAGTCAAAAGTAACTTATCTCCAGAGCCCTAGGTACAGTGTTCAGCGTGGAGCTTTTATTGCCAAGGCAGGTTGTTTAGTAGGAGTCTTAATTTTCTTCTTCTGGACTGGTCTCATTGGCTGGATCCACATGTGCAAGCACATGTGGTTTGTGGCACCACAAACCACACGTATTGCACATTAACTGTGCCCTGTGCTGCTAATTTGCAACCCTGGGGCAAAATTTGCTACCGAGATTTTTCCAGTAGCAAAAAATAAATACCAAAACCAAAGGCAGTGCAAAGCATGCCAAAGTGCTATGTGCTGGGACAAATGCGAAGACAGGGGAGCAAGCAGCTCAGGACTGCCTGCTCACCCATCACCATGCACTGCGGAGCCCCTATGCTGAGGCACCCTGTGGCCCAGCCAGCCAGGGAGCAGCACAAGAAGGGGGCAGAAGGGGAAGCGCTGCAGAACCCATCTTGTGGCACTCTGCACCACAGTCAGCCGCTCCCCGACTGCCTGGGGCACAGAGTGCCTTGAGACAGGGAAGCAGGTGGCTCTGGGCTGCCTGCTCCTCTGTCCCTGCATGCCGCTCCTCAGCTAGCTGGGGTGCAGGGTGGCTCAGTGTGGGGGCTTCCTGCTGGCTAGCCCAGCACTGAGGCATCTGTGCCCCAGCCAGTCCCCCCTGCAAGACATGGAGCAGCGGGACATGTCCCACTGCAAACCAGACAAGAAGGGGCATGCACTGCAGCACAAAGTAGCACCACACATTTGTGCTGCTACTGTTTGTGCTGCTGCAAGTATACACCCCTGCTTGTGTGGACACAGCCATTGTGGTCAGCCACTTACAAATACAAGTCCAAATGTTTCTAGCCCAGTGGTCAGCATCCTATGGTTTGTGGGCTAGATCCAGCCCATGAAGAGATTAGGGTGACCACTTGTTCCTAATTAGGTGGGATAGACCTGGAATGGGAACCTCAAGTCCTGGTCCCAGGCTGCATGACTCTAAGACAGCATTTGTCCTGGATTCGCAGCATCGTGCAGGGATCTTGGGAAATGGCAGGTTTCCCCCTTCAAGGCTGGCAGCGTTCCACCCTGCAAGGGGCTGCTGGGAGTGGGATGGAGGGCACACCATGTGCGTACCCGCATACAAGCACATGGCTTGGAATACAGCCAGGCAGCGTGGAGAGGAGCTCCCTGCAGGTAAGTCTATGGGTGAGGAGGGGAGTGGGGGGGGGAGAGGGGCAACTCAAGGCCCCCACAGCGAGGGAGGGAGTGGGGCAGGGGCTGGGGCATTGTCTAGCCAGGGCAATGCATGGAGCAGGACAGAGCCACGAGCCGCTCATCCTGGGGCTGAGTGGCATGGGTGGGGGGCAGGTCCCCACCACTGTGTACCTCTGTGGGGGGGCGGCGCTGGGGACATGTCCCCCCCAGATTTGTGCATGGGGCCGATGCAGGGTACCCACTGCAGGCTTGGGGCTACCTGCCCTGCTGCCCTCCCCCAGGAGCCCTGCACCACTATGGCAACATGCCCCTCCCTGCCTGGCAGCAGCAGGGGTGGTGGTGCCATGGAGTGGGCTCCCAAGGGAAGGGCAGTAGGGTGAGGAGCCCTGAGTCCACAGTCTGCAACCATCCCCACCCTGCTTGGCTATGCTTTGTCCATGCCAGAGGTGGAGGTGGGCATGTGCCCTGCCAAATCCAGGAGACTGGATTTGGCCTGTGGCAGCTCACAGACTTGGCAACATGCTCCAGCTGCAGCAGCAGAGGTGGTTTCTCCAGGGTCCTATTGCCTGCTAGGTTTAGCCTAGTTCCTAGAAGGAGGCATCCCTGGGGTCCTGGTGCCTGCTTTTTTCTATCTATTCTCTTTGCAGCATCTGCTGATTGGGATAAAGGGGAGGGGTCCAGGGCTGGGTGGCAAACATCAGCCTGTAAAAGGTTGCCAACCCCTGCTCTTGCCTTTTGTAATCATTAAATGAAGTCTAAGCTATTCTTATGGGGGGAAAAAAGTTGAAACACTTCAAACTGAATGTTGCATATACAATTTCTATTGAAAATCAGTGGAAGAGGGACACATACTGTTTTTTCTCATTTAAAAACTTAGCTCTTTTCTTTTAAGCCTAATAAAGGGTAAGTAGTTCAACACCTGGAAGGACACCAAAATAAACAGGTAATTTAGGTCGTGGGATAAGAATCCATAGTCTGTGCTGAGACTAAGGTTAATACAATCCCACTGATTACCTCTCTTAATGTCCCCTTCTCTTGTACCTGTCCTTCCTATATACATTTTTCTTCTTGCCATGCTATTCCTAGCATCTGATGAAATAGGCAGTTGCTTATAGAAGCTCATGCTTCTTAGAGCCAGTTAGTCTCCATCAAGGCCCCTGGCAGATGTTACTGTAATCATGCAATGGGATCTGAGGAATTTTATCCTGGATCCTCCATGCTGCATGCCCTGACATGCCAGACATTCAAGATCCAGCATGGCAGGATGTGCAATATTTGGGAACTGCAATAAAATTCCTCAGATCCCAGTGCATGTCTGATGGGGTCTGAGGAAGCAGTTCCCTGATGCCAGGCTGTCCAGTGCACCCTTTAAACTTGCCAGTGAATGGGAAGTCTGGGTTTGGGGAGCAGATCACTGATCCTGGGCTCCTTCCATGCCCAGATCTTCAAAGGCAAACCACATACCCTGGCATCAGGGACAGACTCCCCAGTGCTGGGCTGCCCAGCACCTTTCATAAACTTGCCAGCATACAGGGAGCCTGGCTTTGAGGAGAGGTTCCCCAATCCTGGGCTTCCTGCATGCTCAGCATTTTAAAGGACTGCTGCCATTGCAAGTATGGAGCAGTCTGTAAGCTTCTTCGGAGACGGGTGGGGGAGGGGAGAGCATATATTCATCCCTCAGTTTAACTGAAGTGCAATAAAACCAGCCACAAAGATGTTCTGCATTTAACAAGCAACATCTTCGTGGCTGGTTTGCCATTTTATCATGTGATTAATTGCTTGCACATGTGGCATGTTAAAATTTATTGTGCAATTAATGTGTTAAGTGTGCAACAAATGTAATATCTGCTGGAGGTGCTACTTTGCCCTACCCTCTGCCTGACTTGAGACCAACACAGCAAACCACCTCTGCATATGCTTAACAGATAATCCAAGTCCTTCCTGTGCTGAGCCACCTGCTCTGTTTTTAACATCTTACTGCCATTCTTCCATCAACTCTTTGGACCTTTTGGTTTTTCCTGTTAAATCAGAAAGCTATTTTATACAGTGCTGTCAGCCATCAGCTGGCACTTGATGAGACAGGAGGAAAGTCTTTTCCCTGAATGGAGTGCTACTAATTACAACAAGGAGCAGAAGGGATGGAACTCAGCATTTCTCTTTCAGCTTTTGTAGGGCAAAGCTACATCTTCTAATGTTACCAGTAAGACTTGAAGCTGAAGTAAATTTTCCATTAAAGTTATGTCAATAAAACAGAGTATGAAGAAAGAAAGTCATTTTCACTTTAGAGGGTATTTGGATGAAACAAAGAGTGCATTTATTTAAATGCAAGTCTTACTTTATGTTTTTAAATGGGCTCAGTCAAGAGCCCATGCGGCCACTTATCTACTTTTGTGATTTACACAATTGCCAAGATTTTATTAAATTACATTCCACCCTGATTACATCAGCTAAAAATACCTGGCTTCCTTCCCACGTAAAATACATCACATATTTTCTCTTAACCATAAATTGCAGTAGATCACAATGGCAAAAATATCTTGGCTTGTGGTGGGAGGGCAATGGTAGAGGAACATAGGGAAGGTTGAATCTAACAACTGCACTGAACTGAACAAACATGTTCTTCAATAGCACACAGTGGGGTTTTTCAAGACAGATTAAAGCTCTGTGAAGTTATACCTCCTCTTCTCCCCACTTGCACATGCTAAAGGGAAAGCTCCTTTCTGGTGCTCTTGTGTTTTATTCAGGAGATGTAGGAAGAAGTTGCTGTATAACAGCAAGCAAATCTGATGTCTGTTGCTTTGCTCATCTTCCATCCACAGAGGGGAGCAGCAATTTTAGGATTCAGCAGACAAAAAGGCAAATCAAATACTCTAAATGCATTTCTCTCTCTCTCAACTTCCTTGTGGTAAAGCAGAGAAATAAGATGATACTAACTGTATAAAAAAAAAGCAAACAGATGCTTTATGGATATCCGTTATATTCCTGTAGAGTCCCAAACACTGAACAGATCATTATTGCTTTTGTATTCAGAATAGGGATTTTCCTCAGTGCCTTGTCAGAGGTTGACAACCTACAACTCATAGGCTGGATCCAGCCCACAGCGCTATTCTATCCAGCCCAAAATGCCAAGGCTTCTGTGGGGTTTCAGTGGAGGAGAGGGTGGGAAACCAGGAAGACTTCACTGTTGGGTGGTGGAGAGAGGCAGGATAGCAGGTGAATCAGAAGGGCTGGCTCACCTCAGGCTGAGCCGGGTAATTTCTGCCCTCTGCTTCCGAAGCATTGCTGTTGCCTTAGGCAACATTTCCTCCCTTGGATGTGGAACATCCAAGGCAATTGCTACTGCCTGGAGGCAGGGTAGGTACATACCTTCTAGACTAAAATACATTTAGAGAATAAACTTCTGTGAACTCAGGCTTGCTTCATCAGACACAAAGCAGTGTCTAAAGTGGAGTGAGTGATTTGAATGCAAAAAGTAGGAAGAGAAGCAAGTGAGAAAGAGCAGGGAGCAGCAAGCAAGAAAAGAACTCATCTGAACAAAGGGGTCACAAAAGCTAATCCAAGTAATGGCATAAGAATCCCTGGTAATGGAAATCCATAGTCTCTGTTTCAACCCTACTTAACACAATCCAGTGTGTGGACAATTTTTTATTCCACAATTTCCTGTTCAAACCAGCGCAAATAGGTGACTGGTAGGAAAGCAAGGAGGGGGGTGGGGCATGCCCCCCTTAACAGGGCCATTATTGCCTCCGACAGCTTCTACAGGTGCTCACTAGCCCCATCCCCGATGTCACCAGCAGCTTCTGCAGGTGCTCCCCAGATTCAGGAGGCACCAGTAGCCCATGCCAGTGCATACTAGTATTACTGCAGCTTGCCGTTCAAAGGGGGCTGAACTCCTGTGACTCTAGCTACATGTAGTTTGTAAAAGCTGTTCTGGGATGTTTCAGGCTCTCTGTATACATGGACAACGTGCTATTGCTTACACACCCCTTCGCCACTTATGCACAGTGCCTACATTTTAGCTCATATTAACTTGACAGAAGCAATTTGAGTCAGGACTGAAAAACAAGCTGCCCGTCAACATTCCCCGAAGTCTTTACAAACATTACTATCCTATTTACCTCTGTGAAGAGACAAATAAGTCTTTAGTGGTTGTATGGTTTAATAATGGCTAAAAAACAGGGGCTACCAGCAAAGCCATTTTAAGAGATAAGGGCTGACACAAGCCACTGCTTCTTTTTCTTTTCCAGAAATAGCAGTAATCACAGAAAAAAATAGGTTTTTTAAAAATAAATAGTTTGCAGTAAAAAACCCCAACACAAGTTCAAACTCTTTGCAAGGGTGTGTTAGTGTTTCTTCAATATGAAACCAGCAACTCAATTAATTTCAAATCACCCTTTGAAGATTTCAGTTTTTAATAAATTAACAGAACATTGTTTTTTGGATTGAACAAAGTAGCAACTAACCTGAATGAGGAGCTTAGGTTTTTGGGGTTTTTTTAAAAGGTTTAGGTTCACAGGATGACTTAAGCACCATTTGGAAAAAAAACAAGGCAATGGTACTGGTACCTGCCTTATAGCTTTATGGTTGTTTGAATATTCACCCAAGGTGTAGACGGCGTGGACTTCTCTTGCCTTGTTCAGAGCAGGGATTTGAATCAAAGTCTCCCAGCCTCTGGGGGAACTGTCCTAGCTACTTGGAGGCATTATCAAATAGGTCTGTTTGATAATAGCCATTCCACTTTGTATACTGAAATATTTATTTAGACAGAGCAAAAACATGAGAGTAAGTCTGTAGCTCTGGGGTCCTAAAGACACAGACAGACAAGGTTCTTTGGGTAAATCTGATATCTTTTATTAGACCAACTCAAATAGTTGGACAAATTCTTCTTTGCAAGCTTTCGGGTACAAACACCCTTCTTCAGGCAGAGGGAGCGAAGGATGTTTGTACCTGAAAGCTTGCAAAGACGAATTTTTCCAACTATTGAGTTGGTCTACCCAAAAGAACCTTGTCTGCCTGTGGCCTTAGACCAACACGGCTACAACCAACACTCCTCAGCATACCCAGTATTTTTGTGGAGGTTGCCTTAAGTCCCCTCTTGAATCTACGCTGGCAATCTGAAAGATTCATTTCAGATGTATCGAAACAGCATTTTTTATACAAAACATCACATGATGTATGTAGCTAAATCTATTTGTCATTTTAAAGTAGAGTGTGTGCCTTGTTTCAGTCCACTAAAATGCATTTTTTGAAGAATAAACTATTGTCCCCTACCAAAATGCATCTGGCCTTCCAGTATGTATTAGTAGCAGTGTGAGCATGGGTTGTAGGGAGAGGGGAAGAATAGGGGGATGGGGAAATGACATAAATTGCCTATAAACTTGATACTGCCTGTTACACCCTGTGGAGGCTGCAGGCAGTTGACTTATCTGTCCTCTAGTTCAAAGGATGGCAGGGGTGGCAGAATTTTTTTAATGAAGATTCTAGACTTCAGAAGTAGTTTCCCACCATCTGAGAGCACGTGAATGCATTGAAGTGCATCTATTTTCTAGACAAAGTTGGCAGCTTGTTTTATGGTAGCCTTAAATAATTCTTCTCCATACTTATCTGTGCTGTTTACTTTGGGGCTGGGGACAGGTTCAAAGCAGGCTAGTATCTAATGTGTAGAATTTCACAGGTGCAAAGTACTTCTGAACAAGGAAGTCACGGGAAAAGCATCCTTCAGGAAGGTGTCAGATAAAGCAGAGTTTATAAAAGTCACATAAAAGGCTTCTCTCTCCTTCTCATCATGAGTTACTGACTGATGTGTTACTTATGCTACTGTTGATGTTATCCCTGAACTGGCCATATTTTTTAGAATGAAATCTGGGCCGTCGCTGTTGGACAGGAGAGACAGACCCAAGAGTAGCAGGATGTTGGGAGAGTGAATACCAGTAGTTAGTACCAAAAGGAGAAGAGTCTAAAATCCAACTCTCACCCAAATCTATCATCTTCCTCTCATACATTCACCTTTGCTTTCTCTCTGTATTGTACACTTGGAACCAACTCTATTGCCCACATCTACCCATTCTTTCCTTCGAGGCTCTCCTTATTCTATCCCCATCTTCAAACTTGTGCAACGCTTTAAGGATCATCCGACAGAATTCCCCATTCGTAATAAAACAACATTTTTCACCTGTGATTCAAGAAAGGAAATCGGGTATCTTCAACTTTTCTTTACAGATGAGGAAACTGTAGCATAGAAGGAACAGAGCTGATATAACAGGGACACCAGGGCACAGCATGGAACAGAATACAGGTCTCCAGCTTCTCAGACCTGCATCCTAACTCCACCACTTGTGTAAATAAGAAAGTACTGCTTGTTTGGAACAACACGTGCAAGAAAAATCAAAGACAACAGCTGTATTTCACACCTTGTTCTGTATGTTACTGACCAGACTTTGAGTAGCTGGGCCATCACCCTGTGGCACCCTTAAAAGGATCTGAATGTGTCAGGGTGTTGCAGCATCTGGGTGAGAATCACTGGATTAGGTTGATGGAGAGCTGTGACTGCTGATAGAAAAGAATTGTGCGCACTCATTTGTATTTATCTGCTACCAGGTCTTCTACTTCCCAACCCCACCTTAGCCAGCTTCTTTACCTCATCTACCTGCTGTAGCACAGTTTGGACTGCATGCTGTGTGGGGCAAGAACTATCATTTGCTACAGGCAGATGGTAGGTAGCACAAGCAGCAACAAGCAAGCAAGCTACTCTCAGTTTTACCACCCAACTCGAGGCACTTTAAAATGCACTAAGGACTTGATTGCTGCATTTTGTGGCCACCTAGGACAACGTTAGGAGGTATTAAAAAGTACAAACCATAAAAATGATTTTTAATAGTTATTAATAAAGTGGACACTAATTCTCTCCTACCACCTTAGCTCTGCCCTCACAGACTGATCTGCCATCTCATTCATTACTAACCTTTCCCAAACAAAGAACACTGCAGGGCCACAGGATCATAACAGGAATCATCACTTTGTGCACCCAGTCAAGTTATATTCAGAATGGTCTTAGCAAGACCTAGCTGCTATGTATATGCTCCATTTTACAACTTGATTTACTTTGTGCTTACAAGCCACCCCAGAGGTGCTGGGGGTACCTGACTTAATAGCTCCAAAACATTTCACATGAAAACTGCGATTTCAATAAATTTGCAGAAAAACAAAAAATTTTGAATTCTAATAGCTTAAAAAAATCCCTGTTAATATTTTTTAGAAGAGAACATATCTCTTTTCTGTTCTGGAATAACTTTCTGCATTTTATGACAGCAATAAATTTGAGTACGGAACAAAAATAATTTGGACTGCTGTGCCTTTGCTCTGGATGTTTGTTTCACAGGATGTTTCTGTTTTGTTCTTGTTTCAATTCAAATGCAGAAAATTAGTAATAGAAATCCAACTCATGAAAAACAAAAAAGGTCTCTTCCCAGCTCTTTCATATGCATGGACTATCTCAGGCCTCCACAGACCTATGCAGTAAGTGTAGCATTGTTTTGTTAAAGCATGCGTGCACTCAGTTAGATGTGGCAGTGATATGCATCTACATATGGAAGAATTTTGGCTGTCTTGTGTTATTTGGCTGCAGTTTTACAGAATCTAGCAATAGATAACTGAAAAGAACTTTGGGATGGTTTTATCTGGGACAGTTACTCCTGTATTAACACTACTTATCATTAATACCACCAATTAACATTGATACTCTTGCATTAACTTTGATTTGGCCACTTTTATCAGTTAATAGGTTTTATCTTTCTGTTTGAAAAGCACTGCCTGTAAGGTTAAAAAAAGTTATTTGACACTATTTTATTATTGTTCTCTTCCTCCCCTACAAATGAATGGTGTTCTACTTCAGTCTATAAACAGTTTGAAGTTCGCAGTTCAGAATGGGAGTGAGGACATCTCAATGTATGGAATTACATTTTAAAGGGTTCTGAAACTAACATTTTTACTATAATTTTCATTAGTGGGGACCTTTAATGTTTTAACCAGAGTAGGTGTAAGCAGATTTCATACGAAACTTCTAAGAATTTGTTTAAAATGTCTATCATAATAAAATTTTATTGCTTTTAAATAATCTCTCTAAGACCAAGATGGCTCTACACAAGATCATCAGAAAACTGAGGCACAGAAAACCTCATTTTTTTTTCTTAAATGACTACAATTTCAACTCAGAATAATGCATAGAAGCAGGTCGCATTAAGTTAGCAGGAGCAGTTCATATTAAAATGTTAATTCCATTAATATCTCAATGTTGTTTATATAACCCCCCCCCACCGCCCAATTCTGTCTAATGTATTTATTAGATTAAATGACCATTAGCTGCCATATAACTATTTAACCACTTGATACCCAACATCTTTGAAAAGCTATTCAGTGAACAGTGACAAACTTTTTCTACTTGCAATATGACTATCTTAAGAGACTCTTCCCAGGCCTCTCACTGGCAGCAGGCCCCCTGCCATATTCTGGTTTTACTGGTAGCTCTGCACAGGAAAGACGCAGGCAATCATCATGCAAAGCAACAAACCATAGCTTCACAAATTCCAGGATTCATGAAACCTATGTTTCCAGTATCTTGCCTTTTAGGATCAGAATGTGCCAATATACATAGCAAGGCTGTTCTGACATGCTGTAATTACGTGTCTGCTGGATCACAGCAATTACCCGGCTTCAGCAGACTCGTGTCATGCGTCTCAGCGTCCCCACACTGAAAAATCATGGCGGGGGTGCTTTAACTAAAGTGCATTTGACGAGCTTCAGTTAAAGCACCCCCACTGCCATTTTTCAGCGTGGGGATGTTGATACACGTGACGCTCTGGAAGCTTTAATTAGAGCCGCTCTAATTAAAGCACCCCTCCCCCTCTCCCAGAGCATGTGTATAAACTCCCAAAGGGACTGATAGTATCATGGAGTCCTGCCATTCTTAAGCCTTGTTCATGCCAACAACTAGTATCGACACTGGGTGCAGTTGGGCAGGTACTGGAAGTGATTTAGATGCAAGCGGAGGCATGACCCAAACTGCAATCCTCAGTTTACAGAATTGTAGCTAGGCCTTGTTCCAAGCAGTCCAAGGAGTTGCATGGACAACATCCTCTACTTCTGCTATTGCTAATACTTCTGTCATGATACTCAAACGCATTCCTTGTATGGAAAGCAGCCAGCTACTATAGCATATAATCATAGATTTCATAGACATTTGGGCTGGAAGAGACCCTGGAGGATCATCAAGTTCAGCCCCCTGCCCCAGGGGCAGGAAGTCAGCAGGGATCATAGGATCCCAGCAAGATAAGCATCCAAATGTGTCTTGAAGGCGTTCAAAGTGGGTGCTTGAACCATCTCCGGCAGCAGTCTATTCCGAACCTTGGGGGCTCGGACAGGAAAGTTCTTTCTTATGTCCAGCCTGAATTGGTCACGGCAGAGTTTGTGACCGTTCAATCTTGCCATCCCTTGGGGCACTCTGGTGAACAGACATTCCCCCAGATCCTGATGAGCACCCCTAATAAACTTATAGGTGGCCACCAGATCACCCCTGAGCCTATGCTTTTCCAGGCTGAAGAGCCCCATGGCTCTCAGCCTCTCATCAAGTCTGTTTTCCTGACCTCTGATCACATGCGTAGCTCCCCTCTGCACCCTCTCAAGCTTCTCCACATCCGTTTTGAATTGTGGAGCCCAAAACTGGACGTAGTACTCTGGGTGTGGCCTCACCAAGGCCGAGTACAACAGGAGAATGACGTCTACTTGCTTATGTACTTTTGAGTTAGAATGCCTCTAAGCTCTGTAAAGCAAAGGCTACTTCACCTCTCCCCTTCCTGAAAGCCAGACTGTACCACTGACAGGATCTAGTCTCTCTCTCAACAGTACTGTGGGTTTTGAAAGCTGCACCTTCTTATTCCTCTCCTAAGCTCTTGCCGGAAGGAAGAAAGGAAGGAGCTACTTCTGAAATTCTTGCAAAGAGTCCAAGTACACCCCTGAAAAGAGACGGAACACCTTCCTTCCCAAATCCAAAGTATAAGTCCAAGCTGGACTTTCTAGACCACTTTTCCTGAGTCAAGAATAATCTGAGATGTCTATCTGGACAAGTGAGTGCCGGGCCTCTGTTCTGGGAAAAATAAGTGCTTAGTTTGGTCATTTCTTTAAAATCTGAAGCACTGCTAAAAACAGTCAAGGGACCAGTCTTTACACACACCAGTCAAATTGTAGGAAAAGCACTTCCAAGTGTCTGACAAATGCTGCAGTGTACTACTGTACAGAAAAACCAAAAGGAAGTTCTTTCCCAACGCAGAGGTAGACAAAAATAGACGAGTGAAACCCATGTTAATAAGAATTTATTGAATAACTTCAGAAAAAAGTAGAGATGATGATGTTTTGTGTAAACAAAAGTTGCATGAATGTAAAGCAGACACCCATGCAAAAGAAAACATTAAAAACCCAAAGAAACTGTAAAGAAACTCCAGAGGAGAGGGGAAATACCACTATAAAACAGTGTTCCAGACACCTAGAATAAGTCATTCATGTAAAAGTTGCGTTCCTGAATGCATAGCAAAATTTATAGGAGTCATAGGGGGGGAAAAAACAAACTCAGCAAACAAAAAAAAAGCAAAAGCCAAAATAAATGAGCAAACCTCAAAAAACCTCACTGCATTTAGCTACAGTATTTATCAACACTCATGCCATGTTTAAGAATACAAGCAAACTGCATCATTACACAGAATACTGAAATGCCTTTTCAAGGCGAAAACAATTTAGTAAAACAGAACTAAACTGCTGAAATGGTGACTTGATAATGTAAGAGTTCTAAAAGGAGACACTGAATGGATTGAAATGTTGTGTTAAATTACATGGATTATTCTGTAGAACATTAAGGTAAATTATGATAATTGAATGGCTTGGTGCTCAAAAACCAGACGACCTTGAGAATAATCAACAGTTCAGAAACTGAGATACTACAGAAGTCATATGCATTAGTCAAGAAAAAAAGTTTACAGACAAAAAAATCCAAAATCCCTCTTTGCCAATTTGTAAGCTCTACTACAGTCATTTTTTACACTAAGGAACTGCAAAGTGAACACCTTTGCAAGGAACTGGACAGTCAAGTCTGACATAATAAACAACATATGCAGTATACTTTTTAAATTCTGTGAATTATAAAAATATAACTAGTTTCCGGGCTGCAATAGTCTTATCATCCTGTTATGAACAGTACAATGACTGAAAATACAGGATAGAGAGCTGGTCATTTTGGTTGGTTTAGACCAAGTGCAGTTATTTACATGTTAATTACAATATTATTAGAGAATAGAAAGCCTACTCTTAGATAAAAAATATGTTTCTTTACTTTTTTTTTTTTTTAAATAAGTACCATTCCCCCCCACCCCCCCAAGTACAGCTTTCAGAAATATTATCTTTGAATACTTTGGTCAAGTAATTATAACCTCACTTTATCTTCTTTTCCTATTTGCTGATAAGAGGAATCAATTAGATTAGAAGCATTAAGTTCTGATGAGAAACCTCAGTCACCAGCAGCTACCTCAAGATCTAGTTATTTCTCCAGCCCACATAGTTTTTAGACCAGAGCTTTCCAAACTTTTCATGTTGGTGACACACTTTTTAGACATGCATCATTTTGCGACAGTAATTCAGTTCCGGGGGAGGGGCCAAGGGAAGCAGATGCGAGTAAGGGAGCTCTGCAGTGCCCTTCCGCAAAATTTTCTGCATTTCGCGCGACACACCTACACACTGCCGCCGACACACTAATGTGTCGCGGCACACAGTTTGGAAAGCTCTAGACTATAGCAAAATCTGCTCTAAGCATTCTCAGTATTGACCCAAAAGTGGTAGCTCAGAGTTGGTTGCTGGGTTTTACACAAATATCTGGAAGACTCCACTCCTATATTTTCAGCTATTACAAATTAGAATAATTCCATGGCAGTCAGACATGTCAAGTTACGCTAATTGAAAATCTAGCCTATTTATCCATACGATAGTGTGGCCAGCATGGAACTATTTTATACATAAAACGGTCTAGTTATTTCACTTGGATGAGGTATACGTTTGAACTTAAATGTCTTGCGTTTGAAATACAAATGTCTTATTGCTGTGTATGGGGACATTTCAAATTTTGCCATCACCAAGCTTCAATGCATCTATGATCTACTGAAGGCACGAATACATGAGATAAAGGCAAAAAGTCAAGAGCTGCGTTTCAAAGACTGAATTATATGCCAAAATACAAAAAGGAAGGTCAAAATATGTGCAAAAGCTTTGCTTATTTGCCACCAACTTGTTTAAAGTATATTTCAGAATACAATTTCAACACAAGGTAACGGTAGCAGTTGCTCAGGCACAACTGTTGAAGCTATAATCACTGGGAATTGTGCTCATTTAAGTATCACTAAAATTAGCATTCTGCATGCTTGTCATTTGTAGTTTCCTTGACTCTTGTCACTAGACTGAAAATAAAAATGCATGCTGTCTTCTGCTTTGTTAGCAGACACAAGCTCCCTACATTGCATTTTACATGATATACACAAACTCACCATACTAAAAGTGAACAAAAAAGGCTTTAGTCGGCCCAGCAGGGTTCTGTTCAAAATTCAAACACTAGCACTATGTTCAGACTATATTTACACATTTATTTATATATAAATTCATGTTGATTTATCTGCCAAAACCAAGTTTATTTACAGGAATGAGCACTCATTGAGAACCCTGAATATTTCATTTCAGGGTTCTGCTTGTGTCTTGTAACAACTGCTATTAGCAATACATGAAGTAACAGCAGCTAGCTTCAGATCCTTAACCAAATAGTGGATATTGTTTCCACAAACCAGTAATGCTCTTCTAAGTTCAGTGTTGTGGTACTCTCTCAAGCATGCAGGGTCCCTTTTTGTGAATATACTTTTGAAAGCTTGGACCCTACTTTAAGGCATTTTACATGTTATGATGTTAGCTTCTTCCATACCCTTAATTATAACTGTATAGTAGCACCAAGAGTTGCTCAATGGAAGATGATCAACTTAACTTGCTCAGCTCCCTTTGAAAGCTCAGCCTCAAATTTCAAGGCAAACTACGTGTTTTATTTCCTACCACTGTTTAACTTTAAATCATTGTGTGCGCCACTGCATGAAGACAAAATCCTACGTTCAAGTCTGTATCAGTTACAAAACCAAAAAAAAAGCCATATGCTAAAAGTTCTACAGGATCATTAAATGCTTGTTCTTAAACTTTGAAGACCGTTTCCTATATCCATACAGATGTGTACTACATGCTCTGATGCTCATGTCTGCCTCCTCACCCCTCCAAAATTTCTATTTTCTGCCTTCCAGGTCTGGCAGTGTAAAAAAAAAACAAAAACAAAAACAAAAAACAGAGTACGATGATACCATAATTTACAATATCCCTGCAGGACACTTCCACTGGGTTATCTCCCTGCACAAAACTAAGCTTGTAAGACTAATGTGTGGGGCTTTATAGTTTTTATCCTGTAAGCTTTAACAGATTCTATGCATGGTGTACCATTTGAACACCTACACATTCTACATCACTTGAATACCAAGTTCTCTCACCTATAACCTACACTTTTTCTCTCAAAACCAGCTGGGGAAAATTGGGGTGCATGTCATATGCAAGGAAAAAGGATCCCCACTAGGTCACAAATTTGGTAGTAGGGTGGGGAGAGAGGTGGAAGTGTCAATCATAGCAGCTCTGGCAGCAATGGCATTTACATTGCCATTGCTACCCCTGCCAAATTTCTAGATGCGTGGTGTGGGAGGGAGGGCATGGTAGCACACCTCCCCATTCATGTATCAGATCAAACCAGCTCATGGGGTTAGTTTGGGACAGTGCGCTAGCTCTGGGGGCAGGTGCCTGGTGCAAGGACCCAGATCCAGCACACCAGGTCAGTCCATGAGCTCCACCTGGCACATGGGGCTGGCAGTAGGCTTGTCTCCCTAGCTGCTGCCACTTATTGGAAAAGATTTCTTTTTTTCTTTCATGCTCTCCTTCACAAAGAAAGGTGTGTACTATATATGAAGGCGTTATATGTGAGAAAAATATTACTTGTGTCCCCAAACTCTGAGATACAGCTTCAAGCAGGGGCAGGAATACTACTGGATTAACTGCTGCAAAATCAGATTTATTCACAGCAGCAAGTCTCTACCCCTGGAGGAACCTGAAAACAGAAATCTGAATATATTATTTCTTCTAATACTTCCAAAAAAATTAATGTGCATTTAAACTGCCATCCATAAGAAGTTTTCAATGAGGAGGCCCAATAAAAAGTGTTTATATGAAACATATAAAATTGTAAGGATTGTTTAGTTTAAGACTCTTCAGTGAATTTAACACTTGCAAGACCATACACAATAACCAGAATCAGGCACACAATATGGAACCACAAATCTTCCCTCTATAGGTCAGCTAACAGATACCATATTATGTGCACTATGCTCTCCCACTACTAATATTTACCCTCTCTAAAGTGGAATAGCAGTTTTATACATGTTTGTACAGCAGCTAAAGCACGTGCCTCACACTTCGCAAAAATCACTTATGTAAAATATATTGTTGGGTTGAGTTTGCAATAGATTAGATTGTCGCTTTTCAGAGTAGTTAGGCTAGTTTATTTAACTGCTAAACTGTTCCACTCGTCGCCTCCCCCACCCCCTTTTAAGAGATAACATTTCAGATACCAGTGTGGTAGACAGATAGGAAAGGGAAGGGACTGCCATGAGCTTCCTTGGTTCTCAATTCACTAGAATGTTTTGGTAAATCTGCTTCTCCATTCAGGAACTGATATTTTTAAGTTACATAAGCCTCTGAGCAGGCTCTGATAAGGCGGTGATAGAATTTGCGACTACCCAAGCCTTTTAAAATACCAACGATTACACCATTTCGCAAGTAAAAGATAAAATGTCTTTAATTTGATTAAGTCATTTTACCAGATGAAAGGGCAGATTTTACTAGACAAATGTTCCAGGTAAAACTCTCATTCTTTCATATTTATTACCGTTTATCCTTTTTTAAAAAATTATTATTACAGACTGCTGGAGACATGGTAATCATTCCACAAATTTGTATTCTTTTTACTGTAAAATTTATAACAAACAGTACTGAATCTAATGTATCAGTTACTCTAATAGATCCAGTGTACCTGAAATAATAATTCAGTGTGGACTGAGGGCTCTCTCTACAAGAGGAAGTTGGTTCACATTTACTAGATGGAAAGCAAGATTTTACTAGACATTACGGTTTGGACAGATGTTCAGTTTCTCCAAGGAAATCCCCTGCTCTGTTAGGAGAAAACACGAGTGTACAGAAGTTCATAATTTTTTTCCCCAGTGTAAAAGAGGCCACACTGGGAGAAAAATAACTTGGGAACAACCTGAGTGAAGTGGCTCCCCAGAGAATCTCTCTCAGGAGACCAAACTTCTGTACAGGTAGCCAGTGTGCTTTTCTGCTTCTCCCTCCTCCTCTCAGAGGGATGGAGAACATGCATCAGTCTCAGCCAAACAGAGAGCTGAATGTACCCCCTAAGCACTTTGGGCCGAAAAAAAAAGTGTTCTGCTCCTGGCTTGTACTTTGTCTGAATCACACTGCAGCACTTGGGTGCCAGGAAGCATGCAAACATACTCCCTGCCCACTGGGGTGAGGAAAGCTGAAAAAAAAAAAAACTGTGCATGGCACAGATCCTGGCAATACCTTCCCTGACACACCCTGCCTACGTTTCACTTAAAAAGCCTGCAAAGCTCTGAGCTGCATGCTCTAGGGTCCCTTGCCTGCCCAGCAGGCTCTTTGCTTCTTTGTTACAACTTCTGTACAGGTCAGTTTTTGTCTAAGGAAAACAAACCTGGGAGAGTTGTCCTGGATGATTTGAATGCATGTATGCAGCCTAAGGTAGGGCATAGAACCTGAAGCGTAATAGCTAGTCTATACTAGCTTCATGCAAGGACACCATTTGTGTGGAGCAGATGTCTTTAAGACTACTCTTACAAAACAGTTATTACTGTTCAATTTCCCACCCCAATTTATTGGGCATGAACTTCGCTATGTAGACAAGCCCCAAAAAGTATGGGATGAGAGAGACAACCATGTTACAGTATGTAAAGACCAATGTTGACCCTGATTTGAAATCCACAATCTACTGTAAAAGAAAAAAAATTAAAGATAAAAAAAAAGATGAATATCACATTACAGTAGCAAGTCACCATGTTGTGAAAGAAAATAATTCTCTCTTTAGGAGTTCATTTTTGATCTGTATCATTTTTTTTGTTGCTGCTGTGTGTTAGGCACTGGTAGTTCAAGGCTTGCCCATGACAGGGGCTCTGCTTTCCTCATAGTGAGCTCAATCTTTGTAGCGGTCATGTTTACATAACTCCTCTTCACATCAATTACCTGGAACAGAAGAGAAATATTTCACTTGACAAGACCAGAGACATTTAACAAGCACTACAAACTTGACACATTATGGCAGTTCTCTGAACATTAAAAGGTTTATCTCTGCCAATTCAAAACAGAACATAGACTGCTCCATCCAAAACTACTGTGTTTATCCATAGCAAAAGTGAGTTTGAATTTGAGATGAATCCCCAATAATTAGATTCTCCATATGGAACATTTATAAAAGTATTGAAAAAAATTGTCCATGTATAGAATATAATTATCAGAGGGTCATTTTAAATTCATTTCCCCCCACCGCTGGCTGCAGCAGGAAA